CTTTGGAGACCATGTGAGTTTAAAATGTGCATATAGGACGCTCGTGCCATTCCCACTATTGATCATATAAAAATGCTGCTTAATTCTAAGATGCAGTTCGTTCTTTGTCTCCCCCACGTATAGTTTGTGGCAGGCCCCGCACCTGAGAGCATAAACCACATTAGAAGCTGTGGGTGGCAGGGCCCGCCCCAAGTTAAAACCGAGTCTGCTCTGGGGGTTAAAAACGTGGGGGAGACGCATAAAACCGATCTCCGAACCTCAAAGCGCCTCCCTCCTGGTCCCTTTCTTGTTGAGGTCAGTGTGGACCAGGATGTCTTTAAGATTTTTATTTCTATGAAAGGCGGCGGTCACACGGCTGTCCTCCAGGGCGGCACAGTGTTCCCTCGTCCTCTGAAAATTGCTCTTGATAGTTTTAAGCAGGTTATGTGTAGCCTCCGAGAATGTTAAAATCAAGGGGACGAGGGACTGGGCAGGCGGTTGTGGGGTGCTGGTGCCGCCTCTGAAGGTGTCGGCGACCTCCGCCTTAATCGTTCTCAGGAAGCGCTTCGAGTAACCCCTGAGTCTCACCGCGCTAAAAAGGGTGCTGGTTGCCTCCTCCACATGGCCCGGGAGGGTACAGATCCTGTGGAACCGGATCACCTGAGACTTGATGAGACCTCTGTAAGTGTGTTTGGGGCGATAACTGGATTTGTGGAGGAGGGCGTGGCGGTCAGTTTCTTTGAAATGGACTTTCGTGGCCAGGGTTTTGTTCTGGTGTAGGGCTGGCTCAGGTTTATTGTTAGGGCTGGCTCAGGTTTATTGTTAGGGCTGGCTCAGGTTTATTGTTAGGGCTGGCTCAGGTTTATTGTTAGGGCTGGCTCATGCTTGCCTTAGACCAGCCCCTAGATATGCTGCTATAGGCCTAGACTGCCGGGGGACTTCATGGGATACACTGAGCTCCTCTCTCCTCCTCTCTCTCTCCTTCTGTATGAATTCATGTCCCATTAATGCTCATTGCTGACTTTGCTTCTTCCTCAGAGTCTTTGTGCTTTCTCTCCTCACAGGCTTTCATGGATCGTGGTTATATCTGGACCCTGGTCTTGCCTCCTGCTGTGGTCTTGCCTGACCCCGCTGCTACTATCATTATTATTATTAGTCACATTACTATTACTATTACCGATACATTACTGCTTTTGTCATCATTGTTATTCTACTACCACTACTGCTGTTATTATTAGTAGTTGTAATTTTTCCATCATTTTCTGCGTACTACTATCAATATATGAATCATTTCTGTCATATGCACTGAATGTGTTGTAACTCTGTTATGTTCATTCTGTACACATGACATCTATCACACTTCTGTCCATCCTGATAGAGGATCCCTCCTCTGTTGCTCTCCCTAAGGTTTCTTCCTGTTTTTCTCCCTGTTAAAGGTTTTTTTGGGGGAGTTTTTCCTGTTCCGATGTGAGAGGATGTCGTACAGATGGTCGTACAAAATAAACATTACACATTGCACCTTTAAATCTGTCAGAAGCAGGATCTGATCTCTACCTCTAGGTGGCACTAGAACCTCTTTTACTATAAAAAGTGTGGCAACATCGAGGTGTTTTTCATTCAAATGGACAACTTGCTGGTTAATCTTTCTTTCCTGTGGATTAGGCTTTTATCTTCATAACCACCATCAACAGTGACCTGCAATGTGCTGGAGGTGAGTGATCATCTCCAAGACATACAGGAAATAAATGTATTTGTGATGAGTTCATCCAGGTGAGCAGTACATGTGATCAAAAGGCCACCTTGACAACAGCTCCTGGTGCAACAAGCCAACATATTAGAGGAACATCGAATCATGCCACACTTTGATTTGAACTGTCCAACTTCCAGATGTAAGACGGGTCAATCCATCAGCTCTCCAAGGCCAACAGATGTCTTCAAACTGCGTTTTATTTAGTGTTCAGGGCCTTACAGCTTCACAGCAGTTTCTCAACAGCTTTACTCTGCATACTGGAATGTTTTAGTCTAACTATTTGGACACTTAATGCAGCAAGGACCTCAATATATTTGATTACACCTGCATGGCGGCACATTGAAGTGACATATCAAGCAGACAGTCTGGATCCTCCCGCAGGATGTTTAGATCTCTATCACTTCATTCTGGTGCATTGTTTTGCACCAGTTCATGGTGTAAACGTATGCATTTATGTAAAGGAAAATCACAAAATTCAGGTGGCAGGTGACAATTCAAAATATAAAAAATATAATGCAATATTATGAAGCAAGGCTCTCAGACGTTCTGTATTGCTTTCAAATCTGTTCTCTCGTAGATCAACTTTTAGAAAAACGTATTTTGAAGGAAAAAGTCCTATTATTACAAGAATAAAGTATTAATTTAGTGAGAATAAAGTCATAATACTTGGGGAAAAATCCACCTGCCCTATAGTTGGCTGTGCATTGTGTTATCCAGAGTGGCCTACAGACTCAGAACCCTGTTTGGGACTCTCTGGATGAGACAGAGTTTAGGGAAGCGGCTGTACGCTGCTCTTCATCGGAGGTGGAAAACCGAAACTAACTGAAAAGGCTTCTGATCCGGTATAAAGCTCACCATTGTGTGGCTTATTGTCCACACAGATGTTAACTTCACCATCTCTGATAAAGTGCAGCTCACAGCTTATCCAAGCTTTTCAGTGTGAAGCATCCTGGAGTCTGGAGTCCAGCCTTTGTACACCTCAAAATACCTGGAGTCTGCAGTAGCCTATAATAAGGGATTATTGTCCCAGGCTCTCAGCTCCTGTCAGATCAATGCACTGATGCTGCATTGTTACTATCTCACTTTCATACAGTGTGGTACATTATCAACGGAGACCTTGTAAACTTAATTAATAAGCAAACAGAGTAACATCTGCACATTCTTCTTCTACTGTTCTTCAATGTGTGTAGTTTTCTCCTTTCAGTCTCTTTTATTGTGTGATACTGTGCTGAAATTAGCTCATTTTTTCTCTTGAAGAATGTTGGCTGTCATACAAATATTGTTCAATGAGAATCACACATCTCCACTGTTGGTGATTTCAAGCTAAAGCAAGCATTCATTAAACTGGGGCTGAGGTTCTGACCATGTGAGCACACAGATATCCAACTGGATACTTTGTTGCATATCACGTCTCTCTGCACACTTACTAATTAAGGAAAGACAAGACATTACTGTAAAGGAAGAGTTTCATATCACATACTAGCCGTGCCTGAAAACAGATTTACTGCTTTCTTCTGCGTTGACACAGAGAATAGCAGAGACTTGGTTAAAGTGCGTTATCTCTGCATTCATTTCCTCTGGAAATGATCTTTACGTCGCAGACAGTCCATCAGACGGAGCCACCGTTTCCTCAGAAGCACCAGTCTTAATGTCCTGCTGTGTCTGTTCTCTGCTGCTCTCCCTCTTCCTGTTTGGAGCTACGCTAACCATGTTTCACAGGGCCTGTCCATCTTATTCCTTTTGTCTTTGTGTCCTTCAACCTATTTATGATCTTTTGACTCGCTCTTTTTGTTTCTCCCTACCTTTCTCTCCTCTTCTTCTTCTTCTTCGTCTTCTTCGTCTTATATCACAACACGTCTTTGGTTTTCCACCTCTCCTTTTTATTTCTCTATCACCACTTTCCTCCTTGTCTTACTGCTTGGCATTATGTCTCTTCTTACATGATTAATACGCCAATAAAATGCACCAACCACAGCCATAAAATACACCCGGTAGTTTAACTTTGACTATGTTGCATTTGTTAGTAAAACAGATCTACGTTTCATTTTGCTGGGTGTTGTTTTTGTGATACAAGAAATAATTAAAAAAATAGATTCCACTACTCAAATATTATTAAGGTGTTTTATTTCTTCCTTAGAATACTATAAAGAAAAGTTATATTTTACAAGTTTGCCTTTACAATGAATAGTGTTGTGCTACAGATTACTGAGATATACATGGCTAATAATACGATGCTTTATTGACTTGCATATTGATATACGTATTTCTGATGTCCATTAAGTGCACATTAATTCAACATAAACATTTTGAGATTTTTTTTTGCTTTGGATGACTTTTACCTGATGAAGAAGGGAGAAAAGTAAATAAAGTGAGTGCAAGAGATCAACGTTGTGAGGGATTTTTTAACAGAAAAAAACAATGGGGAAAAGATATGGTAACGTGTCTTTTGTAATATGAGGAACGTTTTGTAATTCATGCTTGAAACAGTTGAGGTCTCTGTAAAATCGCAGTAATATTACGGAAAGACCCACAGTTTTCAATATTAAATATTCATTATGATGAATGAATAGGCAACAGAAAACATATTGGGACATAATCCAGTAAACTGTAAAAAGGTTAACTGCATGTTCCAGTAATATCTAAGCTACTACGTGAAAGCGGAGTATGTTTCCGAAGTATTACCACCTACTAAAGTAGTGTTTTCCTCCTGAATGCTGAGATGAACCGTTTTCTCATATGTTTCCAGCTACGAGCTGAAGTGAACGCTATGGTCCGGCAGGAAGCTCTTATCCAGCGCGCTGTGCCTCCTCACGTCAGCGGCTCTCTGCACGGGAGCACAGAGTGATGTGGACAATAACTGCGCTCGTGCCACAGCGTGCGCGTGAGCATATTTATGTATGCATTAGTTGGCGGGCAGAGACGAAGAGGAGGCCGCGCACGCGAGGAGAAAAGCGCGTTTTCTGATTGGCTGTGAGGCATTGGTACCCAGCGTTCTCCGGCAAATTATCTCAAGTACGACCAGAAGAGATACCTTCAAAATAAAAGCCTATTTTAAGTCGTAATTGCCTAAATTTATTATTTTTCAGATACAGCTCATTGCCACACGCGTATGTCACATAATAGTCATAGACAATGTACTTTTAATTAAAAATATTGCTCAAAAAATACTTAAACACCTTCACAGGTCACGGCTTTGTAATGACCGATTTTGGCAGTGACCGGAAATGCGTGTTGTATTGTAGCTAGCTTTACTTTGGTCCAAGGGATGTGACTACAGCCTCTCTCGCGTGCCTCATCGGCCCCTTTACTCGGTGCTCCGTTTGTTTGTGTTCCTCCTGCCTTTTACCGTCGAAATGGAGCTCGGTGGGAATTAGCGGGCGAGCGCCCCTTCGAGTTCTCATCCTTACCTTTGGAGAATGATCCACCGGCAGCTTAATTTATCCCAGGTAGGTCGTCTCCATTGTTGCTGCGTTACGTGAGGTGATGTTGCCTTTCATATCAGTCTCTAAGCAGCGGCCCATCCATCGCTCTGTAGCCCGCATAGGCTGTCTGTCATTCCCTCCGTGTGGAGGAAACGGCAGGCGGAGTTCTGTTCAAAACATCGAGTGATTAGCGTTACGTGGGGTTCGCCGGTACAAGAGGAAACAGCCAGTGGAACATATGTTAGTCTGGCTTTCTTTCTTCAGGAGCGACCACATATCCACACTAATTGTATTTTTAGAGGTAGTTCACCTCACCACCAAACACGGTTCCCCCCGAGCTTCATTTCCTGTCATTGCTAGCAGGACACATCGCTCCTAAGTTGGCATTACATTTATAGAAAAAGGCTAAATTGCGTTATTGTGAGCCGTTGGGTGTGTGCCGAATCAAAGCTTGGATGCGAATCTGAGAATGTCTTGAGTCATCTTTCGTGTAAAATGTCCTCATTAAGTAACATTAATGTCTGCAATTATTGTAACGGTGCTTGGCGTGATGGATGGGCGCTGCAGATGTCAGGGCCACACAGCTTCACCCTGTTCGTGCTCGTGATTTGGGATGTAGCCCACTACGAGTCCTGATGCACAGAGAGCCCCCCCCAGAGTGGGGATTCCCATCCTCAGAATCCTCTTAAATACTGGAGCACCACACGGCGTGCCTTTCCTTCAGTGTTCTCTGTGTTCTGGTGTCATTGGTTCAACAAATAACAAACCAGATGGAGCTATAGAAGAACAAGTGCTATTATGAAAGATAAATCAACAACAACAAAAACAGGCTATTTCCAAAGAGCAGCATATCACTTTCTTATAGAAGTGCCTTTGGGCTGCATTTCACCAATGATGCTGGTTGTCAAGTTATCACAAACCTACCTGTCAAACAATAAAATATGTTTATTTTCATTGAAATGCCATTTTATCTAATCCCACTTCTTGCTATTATTTCTCTTGGCTATTTTATTATTATTTGTATTCTGTAGAGTGAAGCATGACAATCAACAAGGGGGATACACTTGTTTTGGTGTTTTTTTATTAAACTCCATAGATGCCTGTTATTTCCCACTTGCTATTTTAAACACTCATGAATATGCACATATCAAAGCTGGCACCAGCTCAGGATGATTGTGGCTGATGTATGCAGAGAAGGTGTGATTAGAGGTCTTGTTTGTGGAGCCACTGGATGAATGAAGCTCTGCAGTGGTCGGCTGAGGTCTCAGGTAGCCAGTCAGTCTTCTGAATACTAAAGGCCTGGTGCCAGATCATCTGTAGTTATTGGGCTATTCATGTTCCTTCATGAGCACGTGGCCAGTTATCTCCCATTGTAACCCCATGTTTGACATTGTTTACATTATAAGTGAGATTTGCACATGTAGTGTTGTGCCGGTGCTGCCTTTCTCTGTGCATAGATAAAAACAAAATGAGCGGCAATTTGACATTGACAAAAACAATCTTGCTCACGTGACTCTGTGTCTTGTTCAGTAGATACTGCTCTGTGATATTCCTGCTACACCCAGCCGACAGCTCCACTTTTACTGCGTTAGTCACAGAGTTTGAAGCGCCACGAAACAATCTCTGACATCCACCAAAACAGAACGGAGTTGCAATAAAACCGTGCATATTTGAAGGACGCTTAGATTGTTGGAGACCGGGGCTACATACACATTATTACCTCAATTCATCTTTTTGTCTGTGAAGTGTCAGAAAGCATCTTCAAATGCCCCGTTGCTTTCTGAACAACAGTCCAAAACACAAACATATTAAGTCCCCGATGAGTTCCTTGTGTTCTTCTGGATGTTACACCACAGTCACGACCATTACCAACATGTGATCCCATCATCTCAGCAGAACCAGCTCAGCTTAAAGACCACCATGGGACAATACAACATATACATCTATTGTAATTGCACTGTTTTATTGTGTACCCTTTTTCATGAAGCCCATCAGCACACACACACACACACACAGTGCATATCAGCTTTCAGTTGAAAAGTAGAGCAGCTACAGAGTCAGATGTTCATGTGGACAGCAACGATGAGATCATATAGCTATGGTTACCCATCTGTATGTGAACAATGCTTCCTCAGAGGGATCATCAGGGAGATCATTACTGATCATCTCCAGCAGAAGCTTCCCGCTCTCTCCTGTTCGAGAAAAAATGCATGCAGAATTAATAATCATGTAGTCTGGAACACAATTATACTGGTTAATTGTGCAAGTGTCAGAACAAGTAGGAAGGACAACTGGGGATATTTCCCAGGAGATTACCCTGTGTGTGTGTGTGTGTGTGTGTGTGTGTGTGTGTGTGCGCGTGTGTGTGTGGCTAGCTTGGGCACCATGCTAATATGGTACCACATGACTAATGAGGACTGTAGGGATTTGAACATGATGTGAAACAGGAGCTGGTGTAGTTTCTGTATGTGCCTCTGTGCATGTGTGTGTCACATTGTGCTCCCATCTCATTGGTTAGTTACAGACAGGCTGTCACAGGAAAGCTGAAGAGACATGCTGGGGGGGAATAACAAAGTAGGGACATCAGGAAAAAGACGAGGTCATTTGGTTGTTTCTCGGATTTCAGCTGTTAGATGTCCAATGTTGCTGGAGGAGTTTGTTCTCTTTGGAGACAGAGGGCTGAAAAACATCTGAGCGTGTTTCCTGATCTTACTCTGTTCACTGGCTGATAGGGTGAAAGGAAAAGTACAGAAAACAATGTCTTTATACTGAGCTATGAGTTAGCATGCTAGCTAACCCCAATGACGGCACTTCCTGTTGCTGCTTCACAGTAGAACCCTTCCAGTAGTTTGCTTTAAATGTGAAGTATCAGCGAGAAGAATGGTCTTATTATTATGTCACAGCCCGGCTCAGAAACTGGAACAAAACAGGGAGACATTGAGCTGGCGGCCAAAAGTAGTAGTTTATTTGTCTCGCCAAAAACACGTAACCCAACGTTATCAGCACTTTCACAAAGTCAGCAACAACTGTGGTGAGCCTGTCAACAAAGGTCTTCCTTCCGCCCGAGCGCCTGCCAACTGGAAAGGGTATTTAAGGATGAGCCACACCGGCACAGGTGAGACTCATCCTGCTGACGATCCTCCACTCAGCACCTGTAACAGATGAAACACAACCGGCACCTAGTGTATGATAGGAGGAGGGTCGTCACAATTAGAAGCTTACCTTCTGACAGCAAAGCCTCCATGTTGTTCCGAATGTGGTGTTGGTTAGACGTCTGTGGTTATCACAAGCTGAAGACATTTTATTCAACAATATGAAATACGTCTGGATCCCTAAAAAGTATATCCAAAACTATAAATAGTTTAAAAAATGGTGTTTGATTTCATGAAAATCTTAAAGGGACAGTTCACCCCAAAATCAGATACCCGTAAATCTCTTCGGGCTATTTATCAATCTAGATAGTTTTGGTGTGAGTTGCTTTGAGCCGAGGGTCATAGAGTTCTGTGATATTGCAGAGAAGACATCATAAAGCCTGATCTCTCCAACACTAGGCAACTCACACCAAAAATATTCTAGATTGATAAATAGCCCTACAGGTGGAAACATATATTTGATTCTGTCTCTTTAAATATTACAGCTGTAGAGAAACATCCTTCATTCATTTGGAGTCGTGTTTGAGTCAATCCGATGAATTAAAGTCCCGTATACACTCTCTATTAGCTTAGTTCTAGTCTCTGCTGGCTCTTTTACTGCTTAATGCTCCATTATGTTCACCAGCTTGTCGCTGACTGTGGGTTAGTGATGCGTGGGTCAGGAGGGTTTGGGTGTGCTGATTGGAAAATATTGCGGGTTTGGGCGGGCGGGTTAAAAGTGACCAAGCAGCACTCTAAGTACATTATAAATAACTTACAGGAACATTACAGGCAGTAGTCCACCTACCATTCTCCTCTCTGTTGCTCTCCCTCTCACACACACACACACACACACACACACACACCATCCTTGTCTCAGACCTCAGTCCAGACCAGGCACCATCCTCTGGTTCTGAAAAGTGAAGCCAATGCTGAACTGTCTTAGACCTGCATTCTCTCTACTGTCCATCAGGGGGCGACTCCTCTGGTTGTATAGAAGTCTATGAGAAAATGACTCTACTTCTCTCTTGATTTATTACCTCAGTAAACATTGTAAACATGAGTTTATGGTCTCAGTCTCTAGTTTCAAGTCTTCTTCAATACAGCATGATGTTCATTTAGTAAATTATGGTCCATTTAGAGTCAAACAGACCATAAAGCAGGGGATGCTTTAGGGGGGGCTTACTGTGATTGACAGGTCTCTACGTCACTCCTCCAAATTCCAAAGATGGTCACTTCTGTTCACTGGTTGCAAAAAAAACCAAGATGGCGACGGTGAAATCTCTGAACTCGAGGCTTCAAAGCCACAGTCCACAGACCAATGAGGGACGTCACCATGACTACATGCACTTCTTATACACAGTCTGTGGTCCTGACACTCGTGCTACCGTCATGCATCAAGTTAGCAGTTTGCATGCTTGTTGGGTCGGCTTCGGGTGCTTGACCCGCCCATCACTTCTTCGCCTGTCTGCCGGTTGGGTGCCCAGCAGGGAGTGCTCGGTGGGTCTGTTAGACCAAAACAGTGAAGTTGTGCTGAACAATGAGCTGAAAGTCACTAAAAAGCTGCGTTAAGTTGAGGAGCTGCATATTCAGCTGATCATTGTCTGTATGCTCGTCACTACAACAGAAACCTGCCATTTTAAAGATATTGATCAGCAGCTTAGATCAACTAAGGTTAACGTCCTCTGATAAACAGTGTAGTGTTGATGCTACAGTGAACACAGCCCACATTCACCGGACCAGTCTGCAAAGAGAACATCTTCCTGCTAACAGCTCCTTCCTCTGCAGGCTTGCCTCTCCACTGCAGTGATGCCAGCCATGTGACTACCTATAGACATGGAAGCTGAGCGATGTGACCATGAGATGTTGTAGAGTAGCTTTTCAGTCTTTCTGTTGCTGTTTGTCTCTGTTCTCCATGTGTCTGTGTGTGTGGAGGTCCATCTGAGCTTCTGCTCCTTCTCAATTATTCATATTTTTATCTGACAAAGATGGAAGTATGATAACGTGTGATGATTCTGTTTTTGTTTTTTTCATACTTGAGTCCCACCTGCTGCATTCACACAGCCTGTGCTGTTCTGTTTCTGTGGTTTGTAACACGCCGCCCTTCTCCTCCCACTTCCCCTCAGGTTTTGGTCTGCTTTGGGTTGACTGGTCATTATGCTGATGCAGCTCTGTAGTATCAAGGTCAGTGCCCCCACCCCACCCTTCCCACCACCACCACCACGATCACCCCCCGCCTTCTCTATGCGCCTGCTTACCACCACCCAGTTTGTCTGCAGCATTGTGGGACTTTGAAGCCTGGTGCCAGTAACAATGGATAGAGTTCTGATACCGATACTAGTATCAGAAATGTATATGAAGCAGCTTCAAATGCTGCATCGGGTGTCTGCAAGTACAAGACTCAACGCACCTCAGCTCATTTACTCTACACACAAACAACACTTGTCACTTGTCTGTACATCTTGCCCAAACGCTACTGCACATGTGCAGACCAGTACTAGACACCTGTAGTTAAACACTTCCTTTTTTCTGCCGATAATGCGTCACGGTGAACAACAAATTATTGTTTGGAATATGTGTATACCATATATACATACATACAAATGGTACCAACATATATATTCATGTACAATGTACTTTGGTCAATTCTTTCTCAAATTCAGTATCTTCAAATGTGATCGTGTTCATGCCAAAAACTTCCTGCGTTGTGTATTAGTCTTCCCATAATTTGGCAGTATTTGACAAATCAATGAAAAGAAAAACAATATATTGGTACAAGCCTCGGCTAAATCAATATTCATGCTGGCGTTTCACTAATATCCATATCACATGGTGACACGAGCCGGCACATGAACATTGTACCGAGCACGCAAACGACCTCTTCTCATCACCGACTGCACGCACAAAGCGCCTCAGCATCCAGAACAATCCGTCAAGGCTGAGGCGCTGAGTCGTGCCCCGGAGCTGCTTCCCAACTAGAGCATTCTCTGATCGGATGGAGAAGCTCTCCCTCACATTCGGACGTGCTGGTAATGATGGCGCATCTTGCGGTGATCAGGGTCCATGCTGAACAGACACACCACTTTCATCCAGTGCTGTGGTACTACTAATGACAGTGGATCTGAATACTCTCAGACACTTTATGTATCCCAATCCTTCTTTTGGCAAGACCCGCCCTGTGTAGCATTCCAGCCCGAGGATTGGTGCTCCACAGGACACAGGTACTGGATTAGTTCAGTTGGTATGCCCTGACCCTGTGGTCATATAACGTCAGCCAATGGCACTGACCTCAACCAGCTACGCAGGGCGGGGCTTACCCAGAGAAGTATTGCAATATTGTCAATAGTAGAAGCAGGTATTACTCCTTTCTGACAGTCTCGTAGTCCTTAACTCAGTTTGTAGTTTTACTCTAGTATTTTAAGTTCACGCTCAGTTTCATTTATTTCTTTTTTAAATTGAGCCAAAGCAGATTCAAACATTCAGCACACCGTTGTGTACATGCTCATTGTCATTTACACATAAAAAACATACATGAAGCGAATGATTTCAGAAATACAGGATTGTACTGAAGAAAAGTATCACAAACAAATAAACCAAACAGAAAGAAATCCTCTAAATAAAGGAAATTACTACATATAATAAAAATGGACAAAGATAAAATAAAAAAATTGTATACTTAATGAAATTAATAATCTAAACCTAACAAAAAAGCAAAAAACAAAACTCCAGTGGGAACAAAGACAACTACTTTATAGAGAGGCAGTTCTAATACAAATACATTAAATGTCTATTGCTGAGGAAGTATCAAAAATGGTGCTTAATATGCTGAAAGTCACCAGGATTATAAATTGTTTATATACATACAATATATATATATGTATTTGTGTTATTCCACATGATCACTCTGCCAGTTGGAGTGATTAGTTTTCATCACGGTGTATGAAGGCAGCTTTAAAAAGGCTCTCTGTGCTGGATCTAATATCAGATATACACAGTCAGCACATGTTTCTTTAGTTGATGTTATGATATGCTTTTCATACCTCAAAATGACCCTCAGTGATCAAATATCAACAGCAGCTGTCATTGTGAATGACTGGAAGTGATACTGCACCCTGACACTAGATGATTCCATCAAAAGGCAAAGGGCACAATGACAGTGGTGTCATGTCAGCACAGCCAATCAGACGGCAAAGTCATGTCTACATATTGCAGGGGTTTAATAGAAAGTCTTTCAAAAACCCAAATCATCAGCAGTAAATGTGAGAGACAAGAGGCCAACTTTCAGAAATGTTTTCTGAGATGCCTGTCAGAATATTGCATGTCCACAATTTACAGCAAAGCCGATTCACACACCTGCCTTCTATAAATACATATAGATTTAATAAATAGATTAATACATTTCAGAAACAGACACTTCAGAAAACACAAACATTTTCTTTTTCAATCAAAGAAGCCGAGCCGTCAGCCGCTGTCTATAGACCATTTTACGGCTGACAGCATTAAAGATATGCGTTTGGCCCCAGCCATCCAGACCAGTCAGCAAGCTATGAACACTCAATCAGAACCGTTACCAGCATCAAAATGTCAGGTTGTCAGGAATGATATTCCAGCAGAGGACTCCTGACAGGATCACAGCCGCTTCAGAGCAACAGGTGTTTCAGTTTAGTAGCTCTAGTGAATGGTTGGCGTAATAAACCCAGTTCTTAGTGTGTTTAGGATTGAGTTAAGGCTTTCATGAGGACACCTGCATGTTCTATCGGTGTTTTCAACAGCTGCCGTCACTCGGACGCTTGTCCAACTGAGACACTGGCGGCATGTATTGTTGCAAGCTATTAAAAGTGCAGACTACCACTGGAATGACCAAAATACTTGTGTTTGTAGCGGCCACTTTAAAACTCCTTTAAGTCAAACCTCTGAGTCTCTTCGTGGTGTTTGCCGTTCTGTCCATGAACACTGAGAACATAGCTGCAAGCATCTAGTGACATGTATGTTCTCACTGGTTACACGCTAGCTTTCTCCACCAACTAATATATGTGTCCACTAAGTATTGGGCCACTTGCTAATGTATACCCACTCACTAACAGGACACATATTACAAAGTCAAACTGTTTAGGTTGCATTTACCATCTTTGGTTGTTAATGTCCTTGCATTAGCTTGACATGCTATTGCACAGCGCTGTGCTTCCATTGTCTTTGTCAATCTAACTAGCATGTCGCTATCACCAGGAGCATGCTGCTCAACCCACCAAGCAACAACCCATCATCCTCAGCTACCATGCTAAGCTAACTAGCATGCTAAGCGCAACAGCATGCTACCAAAGCCACTGAATAAACCAAACAATCCTTATTCAATTCAACTAGCTCATTCGCTTTAGTATTCGTAAAGCTTTGGGGATACTACTCCAATGTTGGTTATTAGAGTATATACTCAAGCATATTATTAGAGTATGTACTCAATAACCTGAGTTTTCATATTGAGTCAGAATTGGGAGAGAAAAGACTGATTGGTGCATTCCTGCAGTGGCACAAGATGATTTAGCAGCTTTCTTTTCAGCTGCTAGCTGCAGCAAGCTGCTTAATCATTTAGATTCACACACTGGCTCTGTGCTTCTTAACCCCCCGAGTGAACCTAGAGTGAAAGACAACATTGTCAAGTACTACTGAACACTAGCTGCTGTGCTTTTAGCAGGAAACTCAAACATGGGTGAAAGGACAGAACTGTTAGATTTGAGTCTTATTGTCGACACTCACAGTCATGGCCATTCAAATGGGTTCCTCCTCAACACTCTCTTCAAATGTCTCCGGCACAGACCATGATCCTCCACCCTTGTTGTCTTCTTAAGCAGCAACATAACACCTTGCTGTAAAAAGCTTCTTGCTGTGCGTTCTCTTGCAGAACTTGTACCAGAATCGGTTCCTGGGCCTGGCGGCCATGGCCTCCCCGTCCCGCAGCAGCCAGACCCGCCAGCGCTGCAAGGACGCGGTTCGCCACAGCTACGGCCCGGACAGCTACGCCGTCAACCAGGAGGACTTCATGCTGGGGCTGCCGCGGTCCACCAGTGACACTGATCTGGTCTCCCCGGACGCTCGCTCCACCCTCACCATCAACTCCTCCCACTACATCATCGGCCAGTCTGAAGACCTGGTGATCACGTGGGACATCAAGGAGGAAGTGGATGCCGGAGACTGGATTGGCATGTATCTTGTCGGTAAGTGAGTTATGACATGATGACATTGAATGATTAAAGGTGAAGAATAATCATTGAATAATATTTAATGACACAAGCCTCTAAAGTTACCACATACAATCTATGTTAACACAAGCACTTCCTGTCAGTATTCAGATGGTGTTTAGACACTCTGCAATGAGGTGAGACTTGTTGTAATAACTGATCATGTAATAACTGTGCATAATATTCATATAAAATGTGTAATAAAGGAAAAATAAAAGAAACTGTCTGTATGGCTAGATGTCGTTAAAGGTACTAGTGCAGCACCTGTTCGGGCGGGGCCGATTGCTTGGTCCTCAGAAGTGCATCTTGTTGGTTGTCAAGAGCCACTCATCGCTCGTTGACTCCAGGGAAGTGAAAAATAATTCAGTTGTGACGTTATACAGCATCCAGCAGCAAAAGTGAACTGCAGTGAATGAGCCACGTCCTATAAAGGTCCTCTGGGGACAATATGCTGGACTCAGAAGTGTCTTAAAGCTGCATTCTCTCTAATGTCCACCAGGGGGCGACTCCTCTGGTTGTATAGAAGTCTATGAGAAAATGACTCTAATTCTCTCTTGATTTATTACCTCAGTAAACATTGTAAACATGAGTTTATGGTCTCAATCTCTAGTTTCAAGTCTTCTTCAATACAGCATGATGTTCATTTAGTACAGGGGTCACCAACCTTTTTTAAACTGAGAGCTACTTCAAGGGTACCGTGTAGTACGAAGGGCTAGTTATTTGATACAAACTTCCTGAATAACAAAGTTGCACAGATCGCATTTTAATAATAATAATATATGTGAAGAGACTGTTTGATCACATGTCAGTTAATTATTCCTCACAATAATTATTAAGAATGATTTCCACAACAATGATGACAGCTACACATATATATTTAAACATGCAACTTTTATTTCTGTTAATCTGTTTCAACATTTGAAAGTCAGAGGTATCACATCTCTGATATATTTGTATCATCACATGATCAAAGCCGGTTACTTTTGCACATAGCGCCTGCTGGTGAATGATGCAGTGGTAATGTAGAAATTTTGCGAAGTCTGGGTCACCTTTGCATTGCGCAATGAAGCCTGCATGCCGGCCCGTCATCGCGGGAGCCCCGTCTGTTGTCACCGACACCAGCTTTTCCAACGGTACCTTTTTCTCCACGAAGAAACTAGTAAAAAGTCTCGTCTATAGCCGAGCGGAGGATCCAACCCTCCGAGGCGCGCGAGCGTCTTCGGGCGCCCGCGTTCAAACCTCTAGTCTGGGCCTTTTCGGTCGGATTGCGTTGCTTCGCCTCAACCCCCGCCACCCCTGAGTTGTTGCCCCGCGGCCTGTTCCGAGGATTTACGGACCTGACGACGGGGTGCGCTCGCGGCGCGCTTCTGGCGCCAACGGGAAGCACCCGCCATTCGGAACCTGAAAACCTAGTGCGGCGGCCTCGTCCTGGCACCCAACTCTCTTATGACAAGAAATATTGTCATTTTAAAATCTACAATAATGCAAGGGTTTTTGATTGAAAAAGAACAGCAACTACAATTTTAGACGGAGCTCCATGGTGCTATTTTTAGAACATGCCTTGCGGGCGACTCACCTGGTCCCTGCGGGCGACAGGGTGCCTGCGGGCACCGTGTTGGCTAACTCTGATTTAGTACATTATGGTCCATTTAGAGTCAAACAGACCATAAAGCAGAGTGTGCTTTAGGGCGGGCTTACTGTGATTGACAGGTCACTGCCACTACCAGAGATGTATACAGCATCTCTACATCACTCCTCTGGTAACTTCTCTTCATTGGTTGTGAAAGAAACAACATGGCGACGGCCGTAATCCAAGATGGCGACAGCGAAATCTCTGAACTCAAGGCTTCAAAACATCAGTCCACAAACCAATAAGTGACGTCACGATGACTACGCCCACTTCTTATGTACAATCCATGGTCTTCGCAGCCCTGAAGCCCCGCCCCTGCTGCTGCACACAGCACTAGCGCTTGTTAATTCAAAGTTTATTAACATTGAACACGTCCAAATCGCACCAACTGCGACACTGCACGTCCCCAGCAATAGACCTGCCAAGTGTGAAGTAGATGGGATGAACCGTTCTCCAGATATGTGAAGGACACACACACACACACACACACACACACACAGATTCCTTGCTTTACAGTGAGATACGGTATGATAAACCAGATTTTAAACCAACTTCAGATCAGTGCAGACCGGTATCACCTGTCCTCTACTTCTACCAACTCATTGTCACCTGAGCTGAATCAGATCCTGACGCGACACGTCTCATAGTCAGTAGAGTTACCAGAGGACGGAGTGTGTGGCACACGCTGCTCTTCTTCTATGGAGGTTCATGGTATCAAACCACTTTCACGATGTTGTTGAACCAGCAGCAACATGACATTCACTGTCAGCCATGGTGTTTCTGCTGTGATATGACACATTTTAACACATTAAGATTCATTCCATGTATAATTGATAGGCATGTCTACATAGAGAATCAATCTCAGTTTATGTTACTGTAAAGTACAGTGGAACAGGACTGACTTGTGGAGAACTGTGGAGGGCTGGAGCAGCAGGGTGGTTTCAACAGTTTCACCTCTTTCCAGGTGAGGCTTTGTCTGAGAACTTCCTGGACTACAAGAACCGAGGCATCAACGGATCTCACAGGGGACAGATCGTTTGGAAAATTGACTCCAGCTCCAACTTCAGTGACTGTAAGTACTAAAATCTCACTTGTGTTTTTGAGCAGAAGAACACTCAATAAATATTGTAGTGTTAGATCAATAGCGTTTTATCATGAAAGTTTTACTCATTCCTGTTTGGAATGTTGCTTTAAAATTCAATTCCTTGTCTCTAGTTTTCGTGTGGTCTTGACCGTGGTGTTTTTAGATTCTGTCTCAAATAAGTGGAGTGGATTGATCCTCTGAGCCCAGAGAGTGCTGCAGCAGCATGAGGAGGAAGTAGCAGGGCTGCTTACAGAGGCACATCCTCAGAGGCAGGGAGAGGGAGACAGGGTGCAGGGAGACAGTCACAAATGGAGCGCAAACACTGCGTTTAGGGACCGGGAGAATTGTGCGTATGAGTGGAGACTACATTTATCAGTGTACAGCCGTCCAGGTGTTTCCATTTAGGAACTAGAGATGTTCCCTTTTCCTTCCCTATTCCCATACCTGAACTTGTGTTTTGTCAGATACAGAGTACTGATCCGACACAAGTATTCTTACTTTTTAACAGCCGCATACTAGTAACTCTTTATGGATGTGATGTTGGACCTGGCTCAGGTTAAACATGAACAAATACATACATAGAACTTTCTTTTATTTTCTAATTTGACAGTCAGTCATAAGTGAAACAAAACTTCAATAAATAAATGTAGGAAGGAATGAATAAATTACTTGTTAAAGTGCAGCCACAATTTATGAGGAAGAAGCGTTTCGTTTGTCACTTCCATCATCTATCCTGACGCAGCGATTTATTTTTCTGGAGCAGAGGATGGAAGTAGCTGAGGAGTGAGAGATCTCTCTTCCCTCTCATCTCTGTTGAGAGCTGCACATGTGCAGTAGAGATGAGGTAGGATGTATGATCAGGTAGCTAGTGACACGCGTTGTTGCTGGTCCTTTGGTAGACGATGGAGTCTTTGGGCCGTGGGAGGAAGACGGAGAACCCGAAGAGAACCCACATTGGCACGGGGAGAACATGCAAACGACACAGAAAGGGGCCGGCCTATGACGCTCAATCCTGTAGAAAGATCCTTCTAAAGCTTACTTCTGGGGTTGGACTACAAAACTCACCATCCATCACCAGTCTATTTCTCATTTGTAAATATTGCCAAAAATTTTGCTTTAGCCTCAAGATTGAACTGTTGAAATATTATATATATACTGTATATCAGAGATCCACTGCCTCCAGTAGAACCTTGTTTTTTGATATACACAGTGTGTGCCATGATGAAGAATATTTATGTAGATAGTGCAACAACTTCTAATTCTGTACATTTGGGGGATTTTGGTCCATTCCTGGCAACAATGAATACCAATGGGATTTGTTGTGTTACTCGACAGCTGTCGGGATCTCTCACTCGGGCTTAACGGGAACTATAAAAGCTTTTCGTGGCGATGCAAATATTTCTAGCAATGGATTGACCCAATCAGAGAGCGGCATTGCCGTCCATAGAACATGTATTCAGTCATCATATCCATCCTATCAAAGTGTGCAGAGACACGTCTCAACATTTAAGTGAGATCTTAACCACAGTCTCTCCACAAATAGGATGTGAGCCCTGGAGAACAGTTTAGTAATAACGTTGTAACTGTGACAATGATTGTTACCTTTGATGGCTCATACAAACTCTTCTTACTATGGATGTTTTGTACATTTAGTGTACTTCATTTTATCACCAGCTTGTGCAGTAATAGCTTCCCTATCTGTGCAAATACTCCCCATGTTTCCTCATGAGGTTTTCTACTTTATTCCTTGTCTTCTTTAAAGGGAGCTTAAACTGAGAACTTAACCTGATAAACATATCAAACCATGTCGGGACGTTCAAATAGAAGTCTCTATATTCCATCCTCCCTGTCTGTGAGACACTGCTGACACAAGCTGGCGGGCAAACTTGTGTCCGTCCAATCAGTTGATGCGGTGTCGCTGTGTGTCCCCCCTCTTCTCGTCAAATCAGCTAAGTGTGTCTGCCCAAACGAGCAGAAAAACACGCAGCTTTACTGTGACCTTAATCTCCTCGTGTCCCCCAAGCTTTTTCAACCTTTTTGTTCTCTTCTACTTCCCCTATTTCTCAAAAGACTTTGGAGTCCAAAAAATGAGAGATATCACCAATAACTAAGAATTTAAACAGATTATAAGAAGGTTAATTTGTTCTCCTTTCCCCCTAATTCTTTTTTAAAGATTTAACTGCTTCAAATATTATATATATTAATTAAAGTATTATAAAAGCTATTGAAAACATGGGGAATACGATAAATATAAACATTTTTCATCAACGCAATTAAAATGAACATGAGACATCACCAATATCCAATGTAAAATAACAAATTTCAATGCTGGGAAATAAAGCCATCAGCATCCATAATAAGAATCTGGTTTGTGTTTTAAATGCAGGTGTGGAAGTTGTATTCAGTCCCTGTGAAAAGCAAACTAACTGTTGTTTGATTTTCTCTCCATCCTCGTCACGTGTGACGTCCTCAGCGGAGACCCAGGTCTGCTTCAGGTACTACCACGGTGTCACCGGAGCCCTGAGGGCCACCACACCCAGCACCACCATAAAGAAAGGCCCCGCACATGTGAGTCTCAGCGCACCTCGTGGCTTTATTTTCTCACATGCAGCGTCCTGGGACTGGAGGGGCTCCGCTGCTTTACTCAGCCTCTTTATGTTGTGTCCTTTGTGAATTGGCTGCGCTGCAGCTACACCTCTGATGAAAGTACAACACTGCATTAGAAGACACGAAGTACATTTCAGTCGCGTTAAAGAACTGACCATCCTTTGCATTCCAGTTAGATTTAGCAGAGAAAGGCTGTGCTCTTTGAAAGAGCTGGAGCTAATCCTCTCAATGCTCAGGATGCAGCACCAGATGAACATAGAGCTTAACAAAATAACACTGTGTCTGACAGGAACATACCCGGCTGAGAGAGGGGACATATTCTATTAAGTCAAAGTATTTTTGCTTTCCATTATTTTACAGTAAATAAACAAACAAACAAATACTGGTGTGTGTTGCAGAGCCGAGACAAACGGTCTCAGTAGTGAGCGCATAAAGCTTAACCTATCAGTCAGACATCACACGGCGTAAAGCGCAGTTGGCTTTCAGTCTGGGGATATTTTGGGGGTTCTGGTGCAGATATTCAGATAACAGATAACCAGGCCAAGACTTCCTCTTGCTTGTGCCAGTCTTTGTTTGTCCGGTTTGCAACTTGAGACCAACTTGTGTGTGTGTGTGTGTGTGTGTATGTGTGTGTGTGTGTGTGAGAGTGTGAGAGAGGGTCAGTATGAAGTCAGCAGTAACGTTACAGCTGTGGACGTACGGTACAGTGTGTGGACGGTTTGTTTGTCGGTGAATAAATGCTACAACTCCTCCAGACCGGTGAGGAGACTCAAGCTGAGCTCCTCTGTCTTACGTATCAGTGATTGAAGTGAGGGGGGGGTTAGCCCCGCAGTCAGCCATAGCTCCGGCTGCTCCGGCTGCGTCCTTTAAGGTGGGTCAGCACTAGTCTCCTAACAATCATAATCACAACTGTTTACTGTAAGTACGTTACACATACAAGGAATTTGACGAGGTGAATGGTGCATAACAATAAACACAGTGCAGTAGGATGAGATGTAATATATAAATAGAAAATATGAAAATTTACAATACATTATGATAAACAAACAAACAAGAGTATGTTAAAACAAGTACATTATTATAGTGTTAAGTGTATTTTAACAGAGAAAAATGTGCAAGGATGTGTAACTGTAAGAAATTGTCCTGGGGTGTAAGTTAATAGATCGTTTAACTGTTTAACTGATTTATTGATTTATTAAATATTAAGATCCCTACTGCAAACTATGATGTGTTTGTATCAGTAAAACACGAAGCAACATGCTGTGTATTTAAACTATTTCAGTCAGAAAGTGAAAATATAAGAAAGTACTCAAAGTACTTGGTCTTTGGTATACTTTTTACATTTTAAAAAGCGTCTGCCACCGATGGCAACCAAAGGCCAAGAATTGGTTTCCAATTTCTCAAAATGGTTGCCGATGGCAACCTGGCGCTTCATATTGTCGAGCCGTGTGCATCCAAACCTGTGACTGTCCTGGAGTCACTCCCATGCTGCCAGATGGTGCCTGGCCATTGGCTAGTGAATTGAACAGTGGTCACGTGATGAATTGCTTCTTGGAGATCTTCAGATCTGTAGTACCAATATTACTCCTCAGCATATGAATATTGTCGCAGCCCTTCTAAAGCCTCCATCAGCCAGACCCCGGCATCAGGAGGGTGTCCAGCCAGGGGGTTGGGTTTCAGTGTTCTCCATTCTGCTGCTCTGGGCCTCTGGAAATGCTGATGGGTCCTGAACTTGATCTGCGCTTGCTTCCTGAGGACAAATGAATAAAAATAACCACCATAGGAAGGGAGACAGGGGGAGGAGCAGAGATAGGAGAAGACAGTCCACTCCAGGTGAGTCATTGAGGTTTTCAGAGGCGAGGGGTAGGAAAGCAGCGGGTCAAACAGCCGGAGGGCCGACACAGCAAAAGGGGAACAAGCAGCAGCAGAAGAAGAAGAAGAAGAAGAAGGAGAAGCAGAGAGGAGATGGAAGGACAGGAGAGCAGTGGAGGGAGATGGTTCTGCTCTGCCTATTGTTTGCTCTAGACAGAGAGGACCCGGCTCTTGACTTGTATGGGTGTGATGGACGCCATGTGTCTCCAGCTGGGACTGCTGTCTCCCAGCCACCCTGAGAGGAGGAGCGGCAGGAGGACAAGGCTCAGCTGGATAGCCTGGGTAACCATAAATACTCGGTCTTTCTCTTCCACAGATGCGTGTGACGGCTCGTTCAGTCATCTTGTTTTCCTGCAGCGTCTCTAGAGGCAGGTGCATCTGAGGCAGTTAACTGTCTAGTTCACCTTCTGTAGTGTAATAGCACTCATGGTGAAACACGGCTGCTGGATATTTGCTTGTAAGATATGATGTCACGTTTATGACACTGGTGGTGTGATTGACGGGAACCTCTAACCTTTGCTTTATTGTTGATCGGTCCGATACATCATTTTGCTAATGTAAGCTGCCGTTGCGTTTTGTGTTCTCTTTCTTGTTAGCGAACGCTGACAATAACGTCGTCTAGTACTGCGTATCCATGGTAACTGAAGTGTATAGGACCAGAGCTACAGTGACAGCGTTAGTGTAAGGTCTGAGGGAAGGAGATGGAGTGTTTGAATGCTGATGTCTTCTGCTCAGAGTGATCTTTGTCTCAGCCGTCACTGGGGCTGATGGCTGTACTGTGGTTCACCATCACAGATAAAAATAACAGCAGATATTCTACACTTACAGCAGAAGAAGAATCAGAACAAACTCTTTGGTGCTGAGTGAGTGAGGAGAGGGAATGAGTCTCAACATGCGAACGAACATTAACACTCATTGATCCTCTTCTCATCTCTGAGCCTGTTTGGAGGTTACTCAGGGTACAATCAGATACTTTCCCATGATTGTCCATATCATGTGAGAGTCCACTTTGATTTCCTGCATCCTGAGCAAATAGAGTGTTGGTAACAGCAGCTTCACAGCACAACACCAGTTACAGGCTGTTTAATGATGCGTAATGTAAGCAAGCATTAGCTTAGTGGCATATCTTAACTCAATGGTGGAACGTAACTAACTACATTTACTCAAGTACTGTACTTCCGTACACATTTTAAGGAACTTGTACTACACTGGAGTACTTATATTTTCTGGTACATTGTACTTCTAGCTGGCTACCTTTATCTGACAGCTTTAGCTCCTTTGCAGACGCAGATTAACAATACTATGAGTATATGTTAAGCAATACATTCAATATATATATTTCTATACACATACACTAGAAATATCTCCACCTTTACTAGCTGCAACATTAAAGCGATGAACACATTAATCCCTCAATACCTTTAATCCCATTATATTATATATATATTTATTATATTTATTTGTTTCAAATCTTGTCTGCTTTTTTCCACTACTCTAGAGTAGCTGCAGGTGTGTTATTAATAAACTTAAAAACCTTTTGGTATTGTATTCCGTTAACCTTGATCTGGTGTCTTTGGTTGTTTCGGGTCACACCATCCTGTGGTGATGACTCAGCACATTGTCACATTACAATGTGGCATATGCAGGTTGATAAACAGCGTAACACTAATGCTGTGACCTCTTCCTCTATCTCATAATGCCATTAAACTGTCACAGATTAGTTTCCCGTTACATGACGTCTATACACGTCTTTGGTGAACAAATAGGAATAGAAAAACAAAAAACGAAAGCCACCATATGGACTTATATATACTGAACCATGACAAACACAGCTCCACACATTATACAGTAGGGATGGATGGATTGTTGCTTCAGGTACATCGTGGTTATCTCCATTGAAGGGCGTGCAGCGAGTGGCCCATGACTGCTGCTGACTGATGGACGTGAATGATGACATTTGACCAAGCACCCCCAGCGGACCTGCTCTCACCACTGAGCTGATAGAAGCTCGTCTACACTGGTAACCCACTCTGAGTGAGTTAGATCACTCAGCCTCTCTGTCTTAAAGGGCCCTGGGACGCATTCAGATAGCTCACACATGTGTATCTGACCTGTAATCAGATGTGGACCCACTTAAATGCAGGCTGTCTCTTTCAGACCTGTCTGTCTCTGCTCGTCCATCAAAGTCCTTGTAACACTTACAGGACATGCACTCCTGACTTCTACATACTGCTCCTTTTGTTTTCAAAGTATTTGGTCGTTCTCCATCTTGCTGCAGTAGGATGGGAGATTATGTAAAGTGTGTTGCAGATGGGATGGAGTTGTCATGTGGTTTATCTGTGAGATTAGAATCATTGAGGAGGCTGTACTCAGAGAGGCAGATTAGCATCTCATTAAAACTAATTGGTGCGAACATCTGTCATTTCCTTTATCCTCATTTCCTTTTGTTTCCACAGCCAGTTGCATCATCGTTCAGAGCTCATACAGAATAGTTTGCTGTGACACAGATACTTCCTGTACTGTCTCTACTTCTCTCCCCACTTTTGCATTGATGGTCAACTGAGTGGACGGTGTGATATAAGATGACAATATATAGTCGCTATTAGAGAAGAAATATCTCCTAACTTCACCTCTAACTTCAGCAATGTCAGTTAGCTCATAAATGAGATTTTGAAGGGCTTTTATTTTGAAACGCTACATCAGAATTAGCTGGTTCTGTCAGAGTGGCACTAATGACATTCCCGTCAGTCTCAGCTGTACTTTGTGTTGAGTGCTAATCAGCCTTTGCTAGCATGCTAACATGCTAAATGAAGATGGTGAGCATGGTCAGCAATATACAGTATCTGCTCAGCAGCTGTTAGCATCGTCATTGTGAGTATGTTAGCATGTTAGCTTTTATCTTAGCACAGCTGTGCCTCAGGCTGTTAGCGTGGCTGTAGACTCATAAGGTCTTTGCAAACCCATTAACCATTTACCAATAAATTGCTCGTCGATTAAAACATTTGAACCAAACTGTCTTTATGAGCCTTTTCGCATCGAATCCGAAACTTGTGGTTTGTGTTTTTATTTCTGTCGCTGTTTCAATCTGCAAGTTTTGGATGCTGATTAAAACCAAGCCAGTTGATAAGATGATGACTTCTGATCACGCGATCAATAGATTTTTCTGATGTCAATGCCATAATTCTGTTCTTACCATCACACAACATTATGGGTATTGATCTGTTTGATACATTTGGTCTCACAGCAGATAAAACCATGACATTTCCTTGAACGCCATCTTAAGGCCGTTTTATATCTATATGGAGCGGGTCTTCTTCACGGCATCAGCCGTCACGTTTCTACAGTAGCCCAGAACGGACAAACCAAACACTGGCTCTAGACATTTTCAAATTGTTCACGTCGACCATCATAGTTCTCCTACGCGCTCGGCACACAGGAGGACTTTCACTTGGGTGCAATCTGCAACTTCGCCGCTAGATGCCACCAAATCCTACACACTGCACCTTTAAGTCTTCTTTTAGTTTCATCCTAAAATTTGTGTGTTTCCAGAGGCTGAATTAATCCAGAGGGAAGATTACAGAATTTGTGAAACTCAAGACTATGACTGTGCACTGTCTCTGTGTCTTTGATAATTAATTCGGTAAACCCCTGGAAGACAGCGTGGCCATCATTCCAGTTGTTGTGCCGGCACATATCTGACTGGGTTTCACTATTGAACCGCAAAACCTTTCCACTGCACAGTGGAGTCACGCTCTCCTCCACTTCCTCCTCTCTCCATCAGCTCCTCCGTCTCCCTCCCATCCCCCATGCTCCTCCTCTTCCTGGCTGTGGGATCAATGTCAGGATAATGAAGACAGAGTATTGATCGCAGGACGCTGTCAGGCTGCCTGAAAACAGAGCTTTACCAAAGGCTGAGCTGAGATCAGATTGGACGTTTTGTCTCTATCTAAACACAAAGGTGTCAGAGCTCATATCATTTCAGAAGTATGTCCTGTCTGACGTCTTTGTGTTTTGGAATGAAAACAGCTTGCACATTGTTAATACTTGAATGAATCTATTATAAATGTATTGAGGTATTAGTTTACATTTTGTATTAATTGCTATTGGTTTCAGTCTTTCTTTACTCATATACTGGTATTTATGACTCTTATTTTGTTATTTGGCTGCAGTGACCCACTTTCCTCATGGGGCATCATTAAAGTTTCATCTTACAGCAAAGGAGGAGAGACACTGGTGTAGAGAGAAGGAAGAATGGAGAGTGTGTTTCCATGTTCTTAAGTCTTCCTGTCGGTCTGTGTCCTCAGGTATTAAAGCCAGTGGTCAGTCCTGAAGTCAACCATGGCCTGAGCAACAGGAGACTCATTAACTTCTCCTTGTCAGGTAGGATACCAAAGCATCCGCCTTGTTCCTGTGTTACTGTACTTCCACATTCAAAGGCTTCCAATCAATGTTTCCATCCACTCCTCCCTCATCTGACCCTTTGACCTGCAGCCCTCTCTAGAACTGTCTGTTGTCTCTCTAAAAGCAACAGTATGCTCAAATCAATGCCAGCCCAACTGACATTTGCTACTTAAATACTGTGTCAACTCTCAAACTTAGGAGTCGAGGAACTCTTAATTCCACCTTTTGAGTTAGTAGTGCAGATCTCTGTCTCACTCTCCCCTCCCAAACAAACAAGGTGTCACTCATTTGACTCTCCGGACTCCCTTAAAGTCAAGATGGCCGCAAAGATAACGAAAACACGGATTTATTCATTTTGTAACCCTCGTAACATATTTGGAATGCCGTTTGCTACTAAAGCAGTTGTTGATAAAAGGAGTTGGTAGTCGGCAGTCCAAGGAAATATTTTTTTCAAAAATTCTAAATCACCGCAACCACAAGAGTTCCTTGAACATATGTCATTAATGGGTCCAGTAGTATGCCAGGTTAGCCGTGGACAGACTGAGAGATAGACACATGCACGCGCACACACACACACCTCCAAAGGACACATGATCTCCGATTCCTTGCAGACTTCAGCTTGGTGGAGATAACAATTGATTCCATTTTCAGTCTATAGCATTCATTGCAACAGTCCTTTGCCTTTTCCAAGAGAATTTGGAGAAATTCAATCATCGAAACCGGTGTTTTTAAAGTCTGACACCTGAGATTCCCCTCAGACGAAACCCTAGTTCCCACAATGCTTTGCGCTATGTAACAGGAAGTATAATGCTGTTTATGAGTTAGACTGTGGACTAGAATTTAAGCACAGTTTTTTGAGCCTATACTGTATTTTGGCAAACTGGCACCAGTAAAAGTATCCTGAATTGGCTATTAGCTGTTCCTGTTTGCACTGTATCACTGTTGTACAGACAAGTATCACTGAATTACATTGATACTGAAGAAAACATTAAAAAATACCATTTCACCAGATTCCCAATGCAAAATATATTATTTCTCCAAGCATCCTCAAACCCCATATACGTAAGATTAACAATTGCTTCTGTGTAAATCTACTTGTGTCATCTGCATTATTCATTTTTAATGTAACTATTTAATTTTGGCAAATTGGCATTGCCTGTGTGCACAACGAGGATAGAACACATGGCTACACTTTGAGGACACAATGATAAGTCTTCTTTAAGACATTTAGAATCAGCCCATTGTTTTCTCACTGACATACATAAAAAATAAAAAACAACACTACGTTAAAATACGCAAGTGACCTTAATCCTCTGAACCCCCAAAAAAAGTGATTTCTTTTTTTAAGAATCACCAAAACTACACTGTTCAGAGGTTGTAAAAATGTAAATAGTATAATGTATATGACTCGGTAACACTTGTGGCATCTTAGAAAAATGTTGTGTATTTAAATTAATAATAATAATAAAATAAATGATTTTTTTATTATACTATATTCATCATAAGGGGGAAATTTGTCTCTGCATTTGACCCATCCCTGTATATAGGGAGCAGTGGGCTGCCCATGATAGGCGCCCGGTAAAAATGTATGGCATAGAGTGAGTTCTCTTCATGGTTGTGTTGTTTCCATAGAGGTGCAGGACTGTTATACTGGAGTGAAAATCAAGGCAACGGAGAAACATGTGACCGGAGCAAAAAAACACAAACTGCTTGGGATTCAGAGGGTTAAATGTTGACAGACTGGTTCATTTAACCGTGATACCAAATTACTGCGGAGATAGGTAGCTTTGATGTGTTTTGGTCCATTCACCTGATGAGCTGTTTACTCTGACTATCTTTACTCTTCAAATTATCTTCAAACCACTTGAAAGTCTATTTAATTCCCAAACAGCCAAAGACAAAAGTACCTTGACACAGATCAAAAACATATCAAAGGATATCACAGCCATTTCATCTTTACACACACCTCTACTCTACCTCTACAACAATACACTCATTAACAATCACACAGAGTCACATTTTACTCTCTGTGGCCTCGTCTTTCTGCGGAGCACAGGATTTGATTTTAAATGAGGGACGTAGAAAAAAGATATTTTGATTCAATTTCACAATTTTAAGCTTGGATTTAGTTATTTATCCTGACGGAAGTATTCGTCACTCAATCAGAAAGCTTCAAATCCAATGATAACAGAAACCCATCCCGCTGGCGGATTGTGGGGTTCAGAGGGACAGCTCCCAGCTACTCTATGACAACCACACACTGCTCACTGTCAGAGGCCCAATCAGAACGTCGGCGGTTCGTGTCAATGTGTCTGTTTGCATTCTAAGATAGTACTGAGTTTTTGTTACCAGTTGTTCGTCTTCAAGAACAACTTTCACAGAATTTCACAGAATGTAAAAAAATAATTGATCATTTGCCATCTGTGGTTCTTATAAGTTTCTGATAAGATTTAAAAATGAAAAGAACTGACGTGATGTTGTTACTCAGGCTCAATATAAGTACAGTTTTATCTCCGAGATCAACCCTACAGTTGCAAGCTGCCCCCCCCTACGATGTGTCCATCTGAACCTGGGGCAGAGTTTTCTATAATAACACATCCAGAATGTGTGTGATTGCGTAACCTCTCTGTCTTCGCTTCCATGTGCGCCTCTTTCAGACCTGCAGGCAGTTGGTCTGAAGAAGGGGATGTTCTTCAATCCCGACCCCTACCTGAAGCTTTCCATCCAGCCCGGAAAGCACAGCATCTTCCCCTCGCTGCCGCACCACGGCCAGGAGAAACGCTCCGGAGTGGTCTGTAACACGGTCAACCCACAATGGAGCACAGAGGTACACACACACACACACACACACACACACACACACACAGAGCGGTACACACATGGTGACATGAGGGGCTCATTCTAAGCTAGAGAAAAACACAACCATTCCAAGTTTCAGGTGATTACACACTAATTTAAACATAGCTATGAATATTCAAGTCCATTTCTGCTAATAGATCCATCAATGCTGCACACTGGCCCTTCAAAGTGTCCTAGAATTCACACGTTTGTAATATAAAGCCAGTACAACAGATTGCGCAACACAGAAAAAGGAGGATTGGGTGCTTCTTCGGTTTCAGCAGCAGGATGGGAGGATCAATGTAATCCATGAAAATCATGTTTGCTTTGAGGAAAACAAGATCAGCCAATTGATTTTCTCATTTAGAGACTTTTTCCTGGAAAACCGTACGTTTCTGGAAAAGTTCATCGGCAGTCAATCCTGTTGCGGACGGAGCAGTTTAATGGCGTGAGCAAAAAGGCTTAAAGTGACATGATGTTTTATATACTATTAAGGAATGGCTTCAAATATTCCAATTCAGCATGACTAAAAGCTTATTTCATAATTACATGAAACTCAATGCATGTGTCTTCGTTTATTTAATTGTTGCCAGGGATGGTGTGTACTATTCACTTCATCTATTAAAACTGTTTAGTGAGTGGTTCAAGTATCATCAAGTGACTCACATGCACAAAAAGAGTCTGTGTTTACCAGTTTCCTGCCAGATTTCATTTCCCAACGCACCCAATATACAAAATTGCAATCCCAAAAATAAGATCCCCTTGACTCAAAAATCCAATGTGTTGCCAAGAATGTCTGAATGTCTGTGCAAATCTGTCTTTAGAGAGGTGTCGCTTCCTCTCCTGCAGGGGGACATGTCCGTGCACTTCACTGAAATCTGAGATTCAAAAATAAAGCGGGCAAGCTAGATTTGGTGCGTCGGAGCGAGAGTTGGCATGAGCATCATGAAAGTTCTCACAGCAAACACGACAGAGTGCTGTTTTTAGATGTAAAGCCTCCTTCCACCGTCTGCCACAGAATCACCACAGACATGGTCGGCCTTCCTGACGGCATTAAAATGATGATTAATCTATTTGAATGTCCTGCACTCCTGTGTCACTACCACTTTATTTCAATCATCATGTCATCCTTAATGATATCTCTGCTTAAAGCTAATGGTTCATAGTTTGAGGCTCCACGTCATGATAATGGCTTGAGCAATATCACGAATAGCTCCTGTCATGTAACCTGCTAAAGGGTTTCTCCACACTTAGCAGTACATCATAATCAGTGTCGCTGAGGGTTGCTCTATTTCATGCCTCTGAGTTCTGCCTTTTCTTTTTTTTTAAACACCTATTTAAACTTTGCCACAAGGATAATTGCAATCAGACGGAAATGTTTGCGTGGCAATATATTTTGTGAATTAGATATTGAGAGGAGCCAGATAGCCGTCGCAAGTGATGTGCAATTCATAATGCTCTCAGTGTTTGCAATTCATTTTTTATCTGTGTAAAGTTTTGTACATAAAACGGAGCAGTTTTCTGTCCGAATGTAGTCTCTGTCTCAGAATGCTCTACAGTACAGCCTCTACCTTTTTATTATGTCCCTCAGGAGACTCCATCCACTGGTTTAATGCAGTGTCCCTCTTGGCAGCATCCACTCAGCTCAAAGAAACTTTCCCTTTCCAAACAGCTCTCATGTAGAGAGGAGCTCGGCTTGCTTGGCAGTAATGTACTGTCTAACTCTAATGGGTTTCCATAGCATGCTAGCTCAGTCGGCACACTTTCAATACTGCAGCTCAGTACTCTGCAGCTTTAGGGACAATTCTTCAACATTATATCATAAGATAAACTAATAAACCATCACAACAATAGGTCTGGAAAGTAATTACCATAGATTTGGGTGTTTTTCGTAGATAAATTCTATAAATAGCACTATAATGCAGTATAAAGCTTTATTGAATTATTAATGCAGGTTTATATTTATCGTCATTTGCGTATGCACTAGATCAATGTTGACATTGAGTTTAACTCTTCCCTAGTCAATATTTAAAAGAAGCTTTTTAATTTGGCCATACTAATTAAAGTATGGCCAAATAATATAATACTAAATTTAAATTATATTTCTATACTAATACTAAGTTAAGGAGTTAATACATTTAAAATTTCCCTAAATCTTTATTTGGACATGCATGTGGTTGATAGGGGCCTGTCCAAATGAAATAACATTCTATCAATATCACATTTTTCTGTGAAGGTGAACATTTAGAAAATTGGTTGAGCAAGAAAAGCCTGTTTTTGTTCAAATACAGTATAATGGAAATAACTAAAACATTGTTCTTGAAAGCGCTGCAAGGAGCACTTCCATATAATAGGATTGCCATACCGGAAGCCAAGCGATGGAGAAGGGTCTGCAGTCTGTCAGGCTATATGACACACCCATTGATAACTACCGGGATGAATGTACTTATTCTGACACCAAACCAAGTACCCTTTGTGCCCAAATTTGTGTCTAAAGCTAACCAAATAGTTTTTCTGTCTAAAGCCAACCAAGTAGTTTTTGTGTCTAAAGCTAACCAAGTAGTTTTTGTGTCTAAAGCTAATCGAGTAGTTTTGGTGTCTAAAGCTAATCAAGTAGTGTTGGTGTCTAAAGCTAACCAAGTAGTGTTGGTGTCTAAAGCTAATCGAGTAGTTTTGGTGTCTAAAGCTAACCGAGTAGTGTTGGTGTCTAAAGCTAACCAAGTAGTGTTGGTGTCTAAAGCTAACCAAGTAGTGTTTGTGTCTAAAGCTAACCAAGTAGTGTTTGTGTCTAAAGCTAACCAAGTAGTTTTGGTGTCTAAAGCTAACCAAGTAGTGGTTGTGTCTAAAGCTAACCAAGTAGTTTTGGTGTCTAAAGCTAACCAAGTAGTGTTGGTGTCTATAGCTAACCAAGTAGTTTTTGTCTAAAGCTAACCAAATAGTTTTGGTACTTTGACCTAACCAAACTATGACCATTTCAAGGACATATAATCTAGTAAGCATGTGCTGTAGTACTGTGCACCCACAGATAGACCTACTTGACACATTCTGAACTGGTACGCGCTCCGAACTTTCACGCCCTGAACGGGCACTGCAGGAGTAATATACAAATACCTATGTACAACTTAGTTAACTGGGGAAGGCTCTGTTTGAAGGATCATATGTACATAGTGTGCAAAGATAGCCGTAATGTTGGCAGACAAGCCCAGTGCGATCAGCGGCACAGAGCAAATATTCACAGTATTTGAGTACGTGCATGACCTACATATAACAGTATAATTGCAAGTCCAGTGTACAACCCAATGAAAATGACCTGAATGACCGTGTAAAAATCAATATCTTTTGATGTGAGGAGAGGCAGGAAAACTGATACTGGGCCACGCTATAGCTCTTACGGCTGTATGCATGAACAGTGGTGCTGGAATGAAGTCCCATTATCTACCTAGTTGCATGTGAGAGAGACGGTATCTTTTCTCACAACAGAACCAGGCTTGGATAGCTACAGTCGTGCAGTGCAGAGCTGAGACTACTGTACGTGCACCCTATAATAAGTGAGGAGCCAGCTGCTGTAGCTGTGATCCTGACTGTAGAACACATGTGCTGAAGGGAGCCTCATCTCTCCTGGTCCTCCTTTACTGCTCTTGTATCTCTCACTCAGCAGCACTGGCATTTTGAATGAAGTCATCAGCTGCATTCTTCGGATGTTCTGCCTGCAGACACCAGAATAAATTTGCTTTTCAATAATCGAGTCTGGAGGAGATAACAGCATGAAGGCAACATCAGGCCTGACCTTTCCTAATTTTGTAAAACAAAGGACCGTAGACATTTGATTTAGGACATCAAGCCGACATAGAACTTGGTAGCGTAGCTGGCGTGAGGTAATCAATCCAAAAAGCTGACATGTTTGTTGTTAGCTTCCTCACCAGCGTGCTGTATGTGTAATCAGATGTAAACATGTTGAACTGAATAGCTCATCCCCATTGTCACCCAATCCAGCTTTTTGAGCCAGTATCGACCCTCTGTCCGATGTCAGTATCTGATCGCTGCATCCCTCCCTGTAAAGGTCACTCCTTCACTTTGCTGTAAGTCTCTTGATACATTCGTCTTATTCTTCATTAGCACGGGCCTTTTTTTAACTAAATTGGGTCTTAACAGCATTCTTAAGAGTAATTCTTACATCTTCCACACAGACTAAACTTCCCTTATTCCTCCTGCTTCTCCTCGACTCGTCCTATCCCACCTCCCTCCTCCTCTGGTCCTCTCCAGCTTCATTTCACTCCTCTTCCTTCAGATTAACATGGTACTCTGCTGCTGCGACAGCACACACTCCTTCTCCTCCCATTTCCTCTCTCTCTCTCTCTCACCCTCTTTATTGAGTTTGTCCCTCATCCTCCACTCACAAACACACACTTTCGCTCCGTCTGCTCCCTCCTGGCTCATCTTGTAAATTATTCACTCCGACTCCCTTTTCATTGTCCTCCTTTATCACCCTGCACACTGATTCTCCCAGCCTTTCTTCCCCTCCACTTCTCATTTCTTTCTGTCTGTTCTGCAACCAGATGCATTTTATTGTATTTTATTGCGCTCATTTCCTCATCATATTCTCAGTTCTTGGCTTCCCCTTTTATGTTTCCTTGTATCTTTTTTTTAATCCATTTCCAGCACTAGGATTGAAATGAAACATCACGTGACATGGAGGAACTGTTATTTACAGCCGATGTGATACATACAGATTTACTGACTGTAATGCTGGCTGAGGTACAGCTCAAGGTTAGCAGAGGACAGCAGCTGAAATCTACTGTAGCTGCCTCAGCTAATACACACACACACACACACCGTCTCCCTCAATTATGTGTGTCTGAGAACATGTAGAATAAAGCCGGAGCAATCTGGAATATAAGTAGAAGGAGAGCCGCCGGTAGAGGAGGAGGCAGACCAAATATATTGGGGGAATTGATCAAATGTTTTTCATGTCATTTGGGTGGAAACAAAAAAAAAAGAAAGTAAAATGTTGTATCTTGTTAGAACTGCATGTACAGATGATATCTGTCAAGGAAGCAGGACCCTTTGGAGGCAGTTACAGTTGCAGGCTCTGAAGTGACGTGTAAGAAGCTTGGACCGCAGTCAGACCCCTGCTGAGAGAGGCGGGGGGGGGACAGGAGATTATTTAATTCATCCATACTAAAACCACATCCATCTCTAATTGGCTTGGAGAAAGAAAAATAAGCCCTAAATGAAGCGGGTACAAAGCTGGAAAGATATTAAATCCAGCATCATTCTGTAGCTTCAATATAAGAGACCAGTTCTATTTGGTTACAGCGGACAGGTATCTATCTGGTCCAGTCTTGGTTAAGGTTAGGGCTTTCTTCCTGTCACTTGACTGTGATGTTGGAGCTTGGCTGTATAGAATGATGTATTCTTACATTACATTCTGTTCTTACATTCATGTACTGAAGGGACAAGTTTCTCTGTACCTTCTGTCTCAGTTCAAGATGTGTTCCAGCAGGATTTATGACATTACAACTGGATTTGAACCAACAACGTCCACTATGCAACTTCCAGGTCACATCCAATGAGAATGAACTATTCAATAAAGCAGAAGCCACCTTGTGTCCAGCAGTTAAAGGTGTGATGTGTAAGGCTGTAGCTCAGTGGGTGGAGTGGGTCGTCCCCGCCCCACAAAGTGTCTTTGATCAAAACACTGAACCCTGAGTTACTCTCTGAGCCCACTGCTAATAAAGAGGACGGGTTAAATGCAGGCGTCAAATTCCATCAATGTACCTTTGTAATAAAGTTAAATAATTCCTGAAATTCAGTTTAATCGAGTTAGCATGCTGACATCAGCATTCAGCTGAGTACAGCCTCAGAGCCGCTAGCCATGCCCTTAACCAATTGTTAATCTAAGCAGGACATCGACAAAGACATTGAGTTCAGTTTTTACTGTGTTTCCATTCATGCATTATATTCACATTTGAAGGTGTCACATAATATATAGCACATAGCAGAAAAGCTGCTTAGAAAGCGGCAAGATTCCATAAACATTGTGCGTAAAAGTTTTCACTCTCTCTTTAGGTGTTTTTTATCTTCGTCTAAAAATTTGCTGCACTTAACGGGATATGGAAACACTTCCTATATATTAATATGTCTTCAGACAGCATGAAACATGGCCAATACTAGCAGATTTATGTTTTTACTGGCAGATTACAACCATGTGTAGCCTATAGCTCCAACTTCTGACCAAACTAAGCTGTAGCTGGGTTTATTTGCTCTACACCAGTTGATGGAAACACACATTTCTTATTTTGTGACGTTTGAAAACATTTGTTTAAAATTCACGAGATAATTGAATAGAAACACAGCTATTGTTTAAACATTCTCCAGATACATTCATCTTAGTAGTAAATACTCTATGTATGTTTACTTAATCCAGGCTGTATTATATTTCATACAAAACTCTCTCCAGAGGTTCAGCTTCGTGTCTGTGCCCACTGACGTCCTGGAGATCGAGGTGAAGGACAAGTTTGCCAAGAGTCGACCAATCATCAAGCGTTTCCTGGGGAAGCTCTCCGTCCCCGTCCAGAGGCTGCTGGAAAAACACGCCATTGGGTAAAACCCAACACCACACCCAGTAATGCAGTGTGAGATGAGTCCAAATATTACTCTAGTGCTGGATGATTCAAGTAGAGCTGTGGAAGCTTTCCCACATCCACTAGCCCACACACACAGAGGATGAGATGAAGGATGTGTGGGCCGGTTTAATCTCACATGACCATCTGATTTCATCTCTCATTTCATTCGGTCTTTACCGCTCATCTTCTTCGCCCTCTTTTCACCGCCCCTCTCTGTCTTTTGTCCACAGGGATCGGGTAGTGAGCTACTCTCTGGGTCGCAGGTTGCCAACGGATCATGTCTGCGGTCAGCTGCAGTTCCGCTTCGAGCTCACCTCCACTATTCACGCAGGTACATCAGGCGTAATGCCATCCAGCAATCTAGTCCCCGACACACGACCTCAAAAAACAAGGCACACAATACAAATAATAGCAGAAATAGTAGTTCTAACAATTTAGCAAATAGTGAGTATATATCTAAATATGTATACACATACATGCATGTATACATACACACAGGATATTAATTAGAAGGAGAATAAATAAATGATATATACTATACATACAATAATAATAAAGTAAGATGAGAATAAATAAATACAATTAATAAAAGAAACCGACCTTTTACAAGAGGGTGGCATTTGTATCAGAGGAGGATTAGTTACAGATGAACATAGCAATAGATCTCAGCTTCATCTCTGAGTTTCACATCTCACGTACTTACCTGCTGTACGTTAAAGCAGAACCCAGCTGCTGGTGATTAACTTGATTCCTTTTTGGTTTTCTGCACTTAAGTGCTACAGAGCTCAGCATGTGTCATAGAAAATTAATGAATTGAATATGTGAAATAAATTATATGCGACCAATTTAGGAGTTGTGCTCTCACTTGAACAATCCATGCTCATAAATTCATTTCAGTTCAATATATGTACAGTCCAAAATCACAAATCATCCTCAGAGGGCTTTCCAATCTGTACAGCATACGACATCCTCTGTTGCAGATATTCGCCTTAAATCAAGAAGTTGTGAGCCTTAAACACAGCGTTAATAAGGGACGTCGAAGATAATACAACTTGTTGAACTGGCATAATCTCTATAAGTGTCACACTCCATTTTCAAAACAAAACTGTGAGCGATTTGATTTGTCCATGGCCCGACGGTCCAAACAATCCCTCTCTCCTCAATGCCCTGCTACTGAGGTCATTATTAATTCAAGAGTACAGATCTGTAATTCATGCATATGATTTATTCATTTGTCATGCAAATAGTTTGGGTTTTTTTGGTTCTGTGACAGCTGCCAGGCTGCGTTCAACGCCTCTCAGAGAGGAGAAAAGCACAGATGACGATGTAGCAGACCTCTTCTTTGGCGTCACTATTTTAAAGGGAAAAGACATCAAAGTGTGTTTCCTGTAGAGGAGTTCTACTGTAAAGCCTTCAGTGGCTTCAGAGGGAGCTGTGAAGGCTGATGAACGTCCTCAGCGTCCGTTCCAGTTTCAGATGGAAACAAATCTGCAGGTGTGGAGTTAGAACGAAGTGAGCTCACCAGACTTCTATAACCTGCTGTGCATAACTAACCTCAATCCCCGACCAAACCGTCGCAGTTGTGTTGCATTGTGGGTGATGTAGGCACCCGGGTTTGAAAAGTAATATCTCTAGTTCTGCTGCATCCATTTTATGGAATAATCTTTGAAAAACACGAGCGTACTCAACTCAAACTTCTGCATGCCTCAAGTGTCAAGAATATGATCAACAGCACCCAATGCAACGGCACCAACATCTCCATGTGTTCTGTCCTCAGATGATGAGGAGATCTCCCTGGTCATAGAGGCTGCCTGTCCTGAGGGGGGGAATGACAACCACACCGCCGATGCGCCTGACGATGACACACTAAGTGTGGGACCGGACATGCCCGACCTCCCCCTGGACGCCCCCCACGACCCCGAGACCTCGGCGCCGCCAGCCTCCGCAGCGGAAGCCCCCGCACCCGAGGAGCCCCTTCCTGCTGAGACGGAGGAGCCTGAGGCGACTCCGGGGGAGCGAGAAGCTGCGGAGGAGGAGAGCAAAGTGAGGGAGGAGCCCCCGTCTGCGACTCCACAGGTGGAGCAGGAGGAGGGGGCCCCGGCTGAACAGCCGGAAGAGAGCGGTGGAGAAGGGGGAGTAGGGGAGGAGGGGCCGCAGGAGGCAGAGGAGGAGGAGGAGGAGCAAGGAGCAGAGTCTGCACCACAAGCTGAGGAGGAGGTGACAGTAGAAGAAGAAGAGGAGGTTGAGGAGGAAACACAGCCAAAGCCAGACTCTGACAACCCTGTAGTAGAATCAGCAAACAGTGTGGCGGCTTCTATAGAGGCCCCCACCGAGGGAAACATCACATCCCAGGAGGCCTCTGTAGAGCGAGCTGAAGGGGCCCCTCAGGATGTGACAGAGGGGGAGGGCAGAAGCTGCGTCCCCTGCGCCTGCCAATCCCTCTTCGCAAACCACAACTCCCATGCTCCCGCGCGCCGCAAAAACCGCCCCTGCTCCCTCCCGGTGTCAGAACTGGAGACGGTGATCGCGTCGGCCTGCGGCGAGCCGGAGACGCCCCGCTCCCACTACATCCGGATCCACCACCTCCTCCACAGTCTCCCCTCCGCCCAACACAGAACCCTGAGCCAGGAGGAGGAGGAGGGAGAGAATTCAAGCAACCAAGACACCACTTCCACATCACCAACACTTAAAACCTCCAAAGAGGAGGAGGGGCAGGAGGATGAGGAAGAGGATGATACAACCCAGTCTCCCTCTCAGGTACAGCCAGTTATGGACAGAAGTGGGTAGTATAGCCAAACACTGTACTGTCTAATAACTATAAGCTGTTAGAGCAGTAAAACATGTTTATGAAGATGACTGTACTGGATCCAACACATCAATGCTGGTATTAATATTGACATTTCTTACCAAATTGCATGGTTGAAAATGGCTCAAAACTCCATCTGCTGTTTTAGATCAGCCCTAATCTTGAAGGGCAATTCTGAGATGAGACCAATCTACGTCCTCAGACCCGATGCAGCTAACTCGTTAGCACATTACAAACTCTGGTGAACCAGTTTTAGTGACTGATTATCTGGAGATATGCAATGTGCTTTCCAAGCATTAATTCTTTTGTACTTATTTATCACCTGGCGAGTTAGCTGGCTAGCGTTAGCTCGATAATTCCACCATGTTTTCATGCTAACGGTACACCGGTTACAGTAAATGAGCGGAACAGCGGGTTTAAGCCTCTTTGTATTTCTGCAGGTCCCAGAGTGTCCAGGTCCCTGCTGCCGCCGCTCCCTACCACGCAGCCTCTCCATTGAGCGTCTCTCTGAGCTGAACCAGCTGCTGGAGGGTGATGGAGTGGGAGGAGGACACACAGCCGTCAGGAGGAGGTCTCCCTCCTGCCTGGAGAGCGAGGAGGGGGATTCTAGTAACGGAGGAGGGAGAAGAGTCGGCGGGAGCACCCACAGACACCTGGGCGAGAACGAGTGTGAGTTTTGCGACACCTCCTGCTACAGCACCTCCTGCTACAGCACCTCCTGTTACAGCACGTCGTGCTACAGCAACTCGGGCTACGAGGGGAGGAGCCGCTTCTGCAGCCACACCCGCCTCTCCTCGGTGGACAGCAACAGACTCTCCGGCAGCACCGTGTTCTCCTCCCAGGACGAAGACGAAGATGAGGAGAGCGCCTTCGAGTCGGTACCGGACGCCGGCCACACAGCGGAGGGCCAGGAGGCGGGCTCGGCAGGAGGAGAGAGGAGGACGGGGCGGTTGAAGGAGGCCAGGAGAGCAGAGCAGGGGGAGCCGCCTGTGGCGGGACCCAGCGATGGAGACAACACCGGTGAGATGAAACATGGCTTCTTATTGGTGGTCTGCTGGAGCCTCAGCTTCATTCTGGGTTCAGACGGAAACATGAGGGTCTTCAATACCACAGCTGGCCTCTGTGGCTTTCATTCTATTTCATTTGTAGGTGAAACACTGCTGACACATCCTTAAATTAAAGAGCTCTTTAAATGAAAGCTCAATCAGTGTCAACTATAAAAGAAAGGTAGAGATATACATTTGGAAGATCAATTAATAATTCACAATTTAAATACTGAATAAGGAAGTTGCATTATTAGCTTGCAAACTAAATAAGTAATAAACGATAAGCTAATCTCATTAAAGATGTGCACTAATACGACACTCAACTCCTGTAAATGTTTCACTGGATGTGTCCTCATGTTTTATACTGTATGTGTACATTTTATGGGATGACTGTGATAGAAAAGTAGGTCACACACACACACACACACACACAGAAACAAAATGAGATTCCCCTGCAGTCAGCACATTGCCAGGTTTGTTCTTTCCATTTTTTTCCTCCTTTCTTTACCCATAAACACACCGGAACATACTCCACCTTAACGTTTTCTTTCTCATTTTAAATCAAAATGTCCACACATTGATTTAGCTAATTTGTCCTTTGATTGTAAATCTGATCTGATTTAAATTTCCCCAACTACACTATTTAAGACTTTTCTCTGAATGACTTTGTTCTCAGACTCTGATACAGAAATCTCCACTTCAGTAGCTCTTACATACATCAAACTTTACACTTTCATTCCTCTCTATACTCTGAAGTTTGTTCACATATCATTAATTTATTAGACTGATTTATACTACATTTTATTAATAAACACATGGGAAAAAAATGATTCAAAGAGATATCCATAATTCCCTCAATGAAAACCGTTAACTCTAATATGTCAATAAAATGAAACAAGAATTATTTTACTAATATCCAACAGGAAACGCATGCAAATTAGCACATGTCGATAAAAATAATGCCTCATTTGCATATGTAAACGTGAACCTTCATACATTTGGCTTTCCTCTCTCTCCCTGAGTTTCAGTTCCCTGATCCCCTCCCACAGGATCAAATTTCATAAATCCATTCACTATATTTATTACAAAAAGCATTGTTTTTGAATGATCAGCTTCTACTTATTTGTCACTTACTGATGATTGAATGTGTCCAACCTGAGGAGGTCCTCTTCTGAAGATGATTTTCTCACCCTTGTAGAACAGGAGATCACAGGTTCCTCTGGAAAGACCTGATCCAATGAAATGATCCCTTGTTCTACATGCATTCAGGTTGTCTGTCCTTTCCACACAGTGGTGAGCTCTTATGTGTGGATGATGCTGGTGATGTTATTGAAGTCTTTGGTTGCTTTTGGGGAGGGCTGGTGCCTTGCTCAAGGGCACCCCGGGAGTGCCCAGGAGGGGAACTGGTACATCCTCAACTACCAGTCAATGCTACTTGGTCCGTGTGGGGACTTGAACCGGTGACCCTTCGGCTGCATTTTGTTTCTATTAGTTTTTAACCAGACAATATCGTTGCAGTTTAGATATGTGCTTGAAGGATATCATTTTTATTTTGTTTCAGTAAACAACACTTTTCACTGCTTATTTTTGTTTTTCGTTTTGTTTGACAATAAAAACACTTTACTTCATACCTCACAAGCAGAACATGCATCAGTACAGGCCGGCTCACTGTATCCAACTGTATCAATCTGTGTCACACATAATGTGCCCTTACACACACACACACGCACACACACATACACACACACACAGAGCTTGTGTTGCATTAAAAAGCCGCTCTGCCGTCACATCTTTCGTCGCGTAGCATCCAGTGCAGCACAGATGTGTCCTGTTCCACACAGAGGAGCCTTTCTGGGCCCTTTCACATCCCACTTCAACCATTCTCCTTTCTATTGACACAAACACGGCTACAACATGTGCAATAATCACAGGAAACATATTACAGTGAGACAACATGTTTAAACTAATTTGCTCATATGGAGGTCTATAAACATGTTGGCAACATGTAAAAGTCATGGCTTTGTTGAGACTGAACAGACACACACACACACACACACAGCTCTACACACAAACAGTGCTATACCCATCAGAGAATAACTCATAGTAATAATAATTCATGTTAATGCATAATGACTAATGTGAGATTACTATTTCTTATTTCATGGGCAATTTGGGATTTTTTGGGTCAAAACTTCGAAGCATTCAGGTCATTATATATTTATATATAATATTGCATACTCGGCATTTCCCAGCCTGCCAGGTGGTTGTGTGCGTCCCCAGCATCATGGTCATTTATCCCGTACTGTCTCTCTGATGTCCCGTAGGCTCAGGCTCCTCCCCTCCTGTCGGCCATCTTCCAGTCCTGCGACCCAGCCATGACCTAAACCATTTTCCTGCTGCCACTGACCAAGCCTTACCTCCAAGTAAGAAGCAACGCCTCACAGTCTTACTCTGGAGTCGCATCCCTACACCTTGGTCTGCATGTTTCAGTCCGGTGCATGCTGCCACATGTGTGTGAGTGTGTGTGTGTGTGTGTGTGTGTCTGTGTGCTTTCCAATCCTATTCCATCTCCTGTGTGTTTGCCGTCACCATGTCACCATGTCACCCTCCCTCCTAGCACGCCTGCTGCAGGTTTAGGTGTCCTGCTGCTTGCTTCATGGTTGGATCTGTACTCAGTATCGGGTGGCTGGATGGCTTGCTGGTCTTCGCTGATTCAAAGCACGAAGGTCAGCTCTCAGGAGACTCCACTTAGCCGTTACAACACCATCCAACTGAGAGTCCGCAGCCCCTTTCACACAACATGTTTCAATTCATGTTGCGAGATACAAAGCCTGTTTTTCGGTGTCTTTACATTTATAGTAGAGTTGTATAGTTTATAACCCTCAACATATCAACTATCTGTCCGTCTGTTTAATCCATGCACAAATAGAAATGTAAAAACAACAGTTTGTGGTTTTTGGGGAAGTTAGATACTGGAACTACTTCTTACCAAACAGCAGCCATTGTGTTCTGCTGTTTCAGTGCACAGAAGTGTTGAGTGGATGGATAATAGTAGTGAAATAGTGCCAGCACTTACTCATCCAAAACAACACCATTACCAGTTTTTAATATCTGTACGCTAAGCTAGGCTAACCACCAATACAGATCCTCTGTATGCTAAGCTAGGCTAACCACCAATACAGATCCATCTGTACGCTAAGCTAGGCTAACCACCAATACAGATCCTCTGTATGCTAAGCTAGGCTAACCACCAATACAGATCCTCTGTATGCTAAGCTAGGCTAACCACCAATACAGATCCTCTTATGTCAGTCTCAAAACTGGAACAAATAGTCGTGTTCCAGAAGTGTTGTTCATATGTGAGACACTCGTGTCACTAAAGCTGTTTTTCCACCAAGCCGTCCTGTTCACTTTTGTGTACAGTAGAACTGTTGTACTTGTGTTTTCATGAGCAGAAGTCCTGGATAGTACCTGGCACTTTTTGTGGAGCTTTGAAGCTGAGCCGATTTGAATCGTCACTAGTGTGACACAGGACTTCCTGCTCAATAACGCCATTTTTAAATAGCCAATAACCATCAATAGCAAGTGACAACTTTTGTTTTATTCGCACAACCCAGATGTTTGTAAATGGCAGCCAGTAACATTCCGGCATACTGAGTGGGTCCTGTCTGCAGTGGAAAATGGAACAGAGAAAAAGACCTGGTACCAGGAAGTGAGTCGAGTCGAGGCTCAAAGGCTTTTAACCACAGCCTCACATGCATTTAATGGACACCCCTCGTTTCATTCTTCCGCAACGTTAGTTGTGTGACAAATGACGATGACGGTGGAAGCAGTGGCTATGATACACTTCAGAACCCTGAGGGCCGGATTGACACATGTTGCATCAGAAATCACACTCCTTAATGGAGCCATAGCTCAGCCGAATGTGAACATGACATGCATATCTTCAGGTTTAGTGAGACTTTAACCATGTGAGGATACCATTTTATTTTTTCATGAAAAAAAGTCCAATAAAAAAATAAATATGCCTTATAACACCAGAACTTGAATTCTGCATTCTTTTAATGGTGGCAGTTTTCCAGAGTGAAAACAAATATTACAATACAGGGCTCCAGTGGCTCACAACTTAACTCCTCTCATCTATGGCACCACTATACTCTCTGTGTACCTCCCAAAGCATCAAGGGAACTGTAGTTCAACACTTTGAGGATTATTGTCTCCAAAATAGAAGAAATAGTAGGAGTGACATTAATGTTTCCTTTTGTTCATGTGAACCCAACAATACACATGTATTCTTCACAGGTGTAAAGCCCATGTTGTTGTGGGGGTACAGTTGTCCCCTGCCCTAGTGATCCTAGTGAACACAAAGTGGGAGCATTGCTGCTGATTGGAGTAGAGAAGTGGTGAATATAAAATAATGATTTCACCAGACCAGCAGTCATAGAAATGTGTGTAAATGGAATAAAACAGACAAACAAATCAACACATTTAAGAGCTGGAACCAGAAAACATGTATTACTTTTACCAGAGAAATTGCTAGAACAAGGTCTCTTACGGTGATTGAGTCGCGTGGTGTTGACGATGGTAGCAATGGGGATATCAGCTGTTCTGCACTTTAGCTTTGTGAATAGAGGGAGAGGGGGTGAGAGAGGGAGTTTTATTTGTGTCTGACCACTGTTTAAACACTGTTAAATGGTAAATGAACTGTACTTGTGTAGCACTTTTCTAGTCTTTCCGACCACTCAAAGCTACTATTATTCACCCGTTTACACATTGATGGCAGGGGCTAAGTGCCACCTGCCTATCAGACTAACTCATTCACACACCGTAGGCACAGCTACGGGAGCAAGTTTGGGTTAAGTGTCTTGTCCAAGGACACATCGACATTCGGGGATCGAACCGCCTGTCCTCTGATTGAAGGACGAGCCGCTCTACCACTGAGCCACGGTCGCTAAGTCAGATGTGAAAGTCTTTAGAACGGTTTGGATGTGTGACATCTGTCTTCCTGCTCATACAACTACAAAACACAGCCACTGGATCAGGATAGTCTCCTCTGCTCAGCCTTTAGTTTCAGATAGTCACCGACATACATTTTATGAGAACAAACCACTCAGGCATCAAAAATGAACTCAAATCACAGAAAATGTAACAAAGGGAGGTTAGTCTAAATTTGAACTTTGAGATTAAACTTTAGTTAAGACCCTCTAGCAGCTCCCATCTTCAGTTTATTTTGCATCTGAACAGAGCAGAACCACACAAAATACATTCCAATGTGTTCAATAGAGTTACACAAACAGCTCTTGGTTTAAACATATAGAATATATATAGAATATTTCATACAAGGGACATTTTGTTTTGTAATGTCTGCCACGTATATTCAGCAATTTGTTGGCTATGTTGCACTTTTGCTTATGGATGCTGATGAATACTAATTTAATAGTGCCCTGACAATATGTCAGAGAGCTGTTGATGTGGCTCTGTATCTGCTGGATGTGTTTACCACAACAACTTAATAAGGTGATAACAAGTCAGTGTTTTATTCACAGCATGTTGGCTTTATGAGAAGATTATGAATGAAATATCATGCTTTGATTCCAGACGAATTCACTTGTTTTTGGCACATTTATTTTTTTTTCAAGGAGATGTGTTCTACTAGATTGCTCTGCAGTTTTCACCAGTGGTGGACACTGCATGAGTTTGATTCTCTTTCCGAAAATGAAGAGATATTATTATTCTCTCATCATTTGCTCTGTGGGTTGGATCCTACGACCAATCAGCTTGTCAGAAAAGACCTGAAGCCGTGGGGATCCTGGAGGCAGGCTTCAGCTCATGCATGAAGGGATTAGTTATCCACTCGCTCTTGGTTTTATGACGTGCATACGGCATCAAGCCGTGGGAAAATGGGGAGAGTGAGAGTAGAAACTCCTTGTGAGTGGATGGCGGTCAAAGCCAGAAAGATTTGGAAAATGTCTGTGAGAGATTTAGAGTGAGTGATTATGAAAGTGGGAATTGATCTGCTATTTTATGTAGTTTGTTTAACTTCAGATCTTGCTATCCCTGTTTATTGTTATTACAAATAATTTAATGTGTCTTATTGTGAGTACAGTTGAAAAAGAAGCTTCAGATCTTTTTGAATAAACAGAAAAACAACAGGGCAATAAACAGTAAAGGCGTTATGAATGTCGGTTGACAACCAGGGAAGATAATCCTGACCGTCTCTTGATTGGTCTTCAGGGTTAATGACATCCAGGAACAGGTTGGTTTACATCCAGTGAACTGTACCGGGATTAAACGAACACGCTCTTAACAGCGGAATAGAAAGTTAGCCAGTAACTGTCGGATCCTCCCCCTCTGTGTTGCCTCAGACTGGGAAGCTCGCATCGACAGCCACGGCAGAGTTTTCTACGTGGACCATGTCAACCGGACCACGACCTGGCAGAGACCGGTCCACAGCAGCAAGTGTAACCACGGCATCCCCCGCTCCGGGTCCACACAGCAGATGGAGCAGCTCAACAGGAGGTCAGACTGGGAACACGTGATGATAGTAGACACTGTAGCCCACATCAGTCCTGTGCCATGTGTGCTCTACTGGAACACCAATGTTAGCTGATAAAAGTATATCTATATTTAGCATATTAATTTCTCTTTAAGCACTAAACGACTCTCTTTTTCACTTAAAAAACATGCTTGAGTTGTTACAATATACCAATGTATCATGTTGTAACTAGAAGGGTTCTTGTTTTAATGAGATGCATTGTGTAATATGGAGAATACTACCTCTCTGGGCTTCCGTACGTGTTATCTATATCTATATATATATGTATTTGTTTTGTTTATGTCAACCAAACAATAATGTTGAGCTGAAACAATGAGAGTAAAGTACTCGTAGCTGCATACTGGTCCTATGGTGGAGTTAGGCTGACATCTGGTGACTGGAAAGGAAAGTTAATCAACCTTTGTGAGGCTCATTTTAAAGTGCAGTGCTCTGCAGAAATGATTATGCAATAACATTAACAACTGTGACATGTCTCTTTGTGAACGGTGCAGATACCCTCTATTATTAAATGATACTACCTCACAAGCCAAAGAGTTCTGTCTTCATCCTCCTGTATTAGAGGACGGCTTGTTGTTTGTGCAGGTACCAGAACATCCAGAGGACCATGGCCACAGAGGAGGACGGGGGGAGTCCCAGGTTGGAGCGGAGCGGCAGCACGGAGACTGATCCTGATGCTCCTCAGACAGGTACAGAGCTGAGCCTCCTCACTGTTTGAACTGACACCTCCGTTTGTCAAGCCAGCTAAGGAGCAGACGACAGAGAGACATTGTTTAGGGTTGTTCTCATGCATATTTGTGGGACCACTGACCTGTTTTCACTATTTGAAGGTCCTGTTGATGTCAATGTCATCTACAATCTTCTGATGCAGTACATTTTAATGTTGAATATTATATTCAGTGCTTAGAAATACTGAGGAAGTACTTCACCTATCTTCTGTCTGCAGGCCCCGCCTCCCCCGTCAATCACCAGAAGATCAGCCATCTCCTCCAATCACCTGCTGTCAAGTTCATCACACACCCAGAATTCTTCACTGTGTTGCACAGTAACTATGTGAGTCTCCACATACACAGACTGATACCTATTTACAGTATAGTGTGCTCAGAACTTTATAGTTATTGCTACAGGTCAGATGTAGTAGATAGAGTGCATTCATTCTGTGTTGAAAAAGTCTGTTAGACCAGTTAATCATTATACAATGCTTCCCATGCTGAATCTATATCTATATCTATATATCTGTATCTTGCCTCAAAAACAGGATATCTTCTCCCTCTGTGTCATAGAGCCGCTGAAACGCTACAATATTGCACTCTTAACATGTTCCTTCTCACCATGCACATACACGTTTATTTTGACCCAATCCCACACACACCGTCCTGCCGCCACAAATACTCACTAGAGCACCGAATGTGCATTAATCCGCTGCAGAAAGTAGTCCCCAACAAAGACACTATTTCCTCCTAAGGCCAGCTATTATGGGAAATTACTGAGCCTTGTTTTTTTTACTATATACTATATATTTGAAATCAATGATTTTAGGGCTGTGAGCCTTTTTTATGAGATTTTGACTGTAATAATAATATAGATTAATGACTATTCTTTTAATATGAATGAAATAATATCTTGAATTGAAACAATTGCTGTTCAGCAGCCAACTTTGCACTCTCAGATGTCACAGCGTCAGCTTGAAATCTATTCCTGTAAACTACAGAAGCATGTGAGGATAATGTCACTATGACAGAGTGAAGGCAGTATTGACAACAAAAGACAAGTCTCTCATAATAAAATAATGGAATGATGTAATGTCAGGAACATGTCATTGCTGCTCATGTTAGTTGGTTGATATTGTGTAATAAACTGTGTCAGGCTCACCAGGAGAAGTCAACTTGTCCCTGTTCTCTGTCCAGGCGGCCTACCGGATGTTCACCAGCAGCAGTTGTGTGAAACACATGATCCTGAAGGTGCGTCGCGATGCCAGGAACTTTGAGCGCTACCAACATAATCGGGACCTGGTGGTTTTCCTCAACAGGTTCGCAGACACTCAGCTGGAGCTGCCAAGAGGCTGGGAGATCAAGACCGACCCCCAGGGCAAGGTAGGTTAGGTGTGCAGAAGGACCCCTCCACTGGAGGGGATGGGTGTTAGCGTGGAGAAGGCACTGAGTCACACTTGGAATGGTAGCAAAGCTATATAGCCAAAGGGCAAACACTGGACCGATACTCATGTTCAGCTCTTTGATCATGTTGTTTCATGCAGCATGAACCCCAGAGAAGGTCAGAGTCCTTCATGTGTACTGTAGATGAAGTCACGAACTGAAAGGTCACAGTATGAAACCGGCAAATACACACACCCTCTCAATGCAGTGTGGTGTAGATGGTCTGTGATATTTGAGGAACAACATGTACGATCATTTGTCCTCCTTTTGGTGTAAGACAGCTTTTCTGTCTTTTTTTAACTATTCATTTAACAAACACAAAATACATACACAACTCCAAGGGCAGTCTGACCTGAAGTAAAGTGAGTAGTAATGTGTGTATCCGCCCCGTGAGTCGATGGATTCTACAAGGCCCATGCTAAGGCCCTAATCGGGCCAGTACTTCTTTCCGAAATTCCTGCTGAAAAACATACAAACAAACCTGAACTGCGGCGGTTTGATTTGTGTGTGAGAGAGTCATACCACTCACCTGAAGCTGAGAAGAAGAGCTGTAAAAGTGACAGGGAACCAATATTCCAGCCATATACCCGCCAAAAAAGTGCCTTAAAACATCAATGTAAGAGCATTTTGGATGTAGAAAATGACCTGGGAGTTGTTGTAGAAGATTGTTATCAATTTGCAGAGAGTGCCGACTGCAGAGGGCAGTGGTGTTACGGACGGTTGGTGATCCATGATCGTTAAGGATGCTCTGGTTCAAAATGAGCTAGGGACCAAATGTTTGTACGGATGTCAGTTGTTGAGCCACGACAGCGGCCATAATGTGTCTGTCAACAGACGAGGTAGGCTTGTTTTCATGCTGTTTGCTCCAGCAGCAGTCGTTGGTCACTTGCGGCTCCTACCGGCCGGTTAAGATCGAGGAGGCATCAGCAGTCAATGACAATATAAAACCCTCAATTTTCTTTCTAAATTACCGCAACTATGAGTGGCAGATGGGTCAAGTAGTGTGTGAGGTGGTCTGCGGACAGACAGACAGAGACACGCACATGAGCGCATGATCCCCTCTTTAGATAAACATACATAATAGCACTAAAATGTATGAAAATTTCCATTCCGACTTTGTTCTGAATCAATATTTGACAGTACATAGGGTACAATTTCAGTCCCCTCCTTTCTGTCTCCCAGTCTTTCTTTGTGGACCACAACAGTCGAGCCACGACCTTCATTGACCCTCGCATCCCTCTGCAGAACGGCCGGCTACCCGGCCACCTGGCTCACCGCCAGCATCTGCAGAGACTACGCAGCTACAGTGCCGGGGAGGTACTCACACTTTTAATACCACATATATTTCCCTTCCTAAAGTCTGGAGCTCTGGGGAGCTTTTCGTGTTTACTATGTTACCTGAAGGCCCCGTAGTTGTCCAACAGGCTTGTAAAGGGAGGAGTGAGTGGAGGGGTTTTTAGATGCTGCACTAAATCCTACACACTGCTCCTTTAATGTAGTTAGAGACGCTCTCAATGAGCGGATGTGGCACTCAGTCACAAGCCTGATTGGTCCCTACTTGAAGACAAATTTATAGACACATTTTTACAAACGGCTCAGTAGTTTTCTAAAACAGCTTTTCACTGTAGTTCTTTAACAAACGGTGCACAGACAGGAGGAAATAGTGCATTAAACTCCAGTGGGTTTATGGTAATAGAGGAACATGTCGACCAGTGCAACAGGGCGGCTCAATGATGTGTTTTTAACAGTTTATGACAACGATGGAGCTCTATGGCACAGAGGAAGATACATCAGGCTCTGATACACACAATACTTTTCAGTAGATACATTCACTGTTTGTTTGGGGACACATGGGATACGTTGAATAGAAGAAAATACTGAACATCACCAGACTTAACCTTTAAACATCATAGCAAACTTCCACTACTCAATCAAACAACACAACATTTCAGCTGACGAATGTAAAAAAAGTGCAGGAAGTTTCAGAATGAGAACCGTTTATTTGCCATGGTATGTTGCACATACAAGGAATTTGACATGGTGGGTGGTGCATAACATTAAACAATCAATCAACACAGTGCAAAAAAATAGAAACATATTAAAATGTACAATAAAATATGTTTCTATTTTCAGGATTTCATGGTTTTCAGGATCTTAGCTTGACTTCTAACATGACACGAGCAATGCCAGAAAAGCAGCTCTGTCTCAGTGTAAAGCGTGTCCCGTTGCTGTTTGTTCTCAGGCCTCGGATGTGTCCAGGAATCGGGGGGCTTCTCTAATGACCAGGCCTGGAAACAGCCTGGTAGCCGCCATACGAAGCCAGCACAACAACAACTCCCAGCTGAGCGCTCCGTGTAGGCACCGTCATCAGCTCCATCAACGACATGCTCACATTGCTTTAGCCCTCACTGATTCTGACTTGCTCTGTGGGGATGTCTGACTGCTTCTCTCTCCCGTCTCTCACTAGCTTACAACGACAAGATCGTGGCGTTCCTTCGACAGCCCAACATATTTGACATGCTGCAGGAGCGACAGCCAAGCCTCAGCAGAAACCACGCACTGAGGTATGCTTCTTTCTAGAAGGACTGAATCACTAGTTCAATGCCGTGGTCCAAGTTGGTGAACTTGGTTCAGTGTCTTTTCACACAGAGTAAGCATCACTTGATGCCATATGGGAATGTTTCCTCTCCTCATTGGTCGGATTAGTGCAGTGCCTGTTGGTAGCGGGCCGACTGCTCGGCCCCTGAAGTGCTGCTTGCAGCTATGTCGAGAACCACTCATCGCTCGTTGACTCTAGTGAAGTGAAGAAGAGTTTGTTATAGCATATCTAACATCCAGCAGCAAAACGGGAACAGCAGTCAATGAGCCGTGGTCTGTTTAGAACACACACACACACATCAGCGTGTTCTCTCTTTCCCTGACACAATTGTGTTAACTGGCCTGTATTCACTGTTCTTGGTGTCCTCTGTTTGTCCTGTTGGTGAATTGTCTTTTGTCTCGCAATAAACAAAAAATAAAAAAGAGATTCGGTCCGCAGGGCCCTGAAGCCACGCCCACTCTACGGCATTAGCCAGCTAGCTAACTGTTGGTAGGGTTGGACCACTTTAACCCGAGCCCTTTGGTTTGGTTTGGGTTGCTGTGTTTGTCCATTTGGTTCAGTTGGTTTTAGACCGGTGTGAGAAACTGTCTGATGGTCACTGAGCAGCTTCACTGTGGAGCAATAATCCCCACCCAGATTCACCTGCCAGTCCTGGGATCCAACCAGCAACCCTGTGGTCAAAATGTTGCTTCCATAACGTTTGGACCACCACTGCCCCCTGAATGCACACATAGAAGCACGTTGAGGTCTGAAGCAGCCGTTAAAGGCGGGAAAACACATAAGGTGGCAATGATTTGGGTCGTTGAGACTGACGGGACCAAGGTGGGGTCAGTTGGTAGTGACAACTTATGATGTCACTCGTGTGTTCCCATGGGAGACATACAGTTCGACAAAAACAAGAAGACACATGGTGATTCCTTCAGTTCCCTCCATAGGATATCCAGTCCTCAGTCCCCACCAGCCTCTCCATCTATTTCCCTCCTCCTTCAGCCTTCTCAGTTCAAATGCCTCCCTGCATGTCAACAGTGCAAGCTGCCGGGTGCTGTCCATGTTCGTTTGGGTACTGGAACACAGGTGGCGTATTGAGGGATTGGAGCGGCTGTCTACCTCCAGAACTCCAGTTACTGACCGGGGTTCATGTGTTTCAGCGCCATGCTGTTGGAAATGAATTGTCCCAGTTTAAATGGATTATGCTGCGTTGATATTGTCGAAGAACACTTGTTTTTATTACTGGACAGTTAAAAACCACAATACAGAATGCTTTTTCTTTCTAATCTACATTACATCAAACTTGACGGATGATTGATTGGAACCTGCCTCAATGCAAATACATGAATACTGATGGATGTTTCTTGATGGACAGAGAGCTGGAGAAGTCAGGAAGGATGCATCTCAGTATCCAACCCACTCATTTAAGTTGTATTAGTCATTTAAATTCATCTCAATATATGAAATAAATAACTGATGAGGACTTTGTCTGGTTGGCTGTTCAGGGAGAAGATCCACTACCTTCGGACAGAAGGTGCTCAGGGGGTGGAGAAGCTGTCATGTGATTCCGACCTGGTCATCCTGTTGAGGTAGAGCACACACTGAACCCCAGTAAACCCGTGTTGGGTAGCAACGTCTTTTTTCTTTTACTCACAAATTACTGCTTTCACACACATCCAATGCTTGAAAATCATAAATCCATAATGTCTTATGTGCTTTTCTCTTTCCTGCCCTTGTAGTCTATTTGAAGAGGAGATCATGTCGTATGTTCCTCCTCACCCCATCCACCCCAGCTTCAGCATCTCTCCTCGCTGCTCCCCCGCCTCCTCACCACAGAACTCTCCTGGTAGGTCTTCAAGCATGACGATCACTAACTGTTTGGTGTGGGACGTGAAACATCCCTGGACGTGTTGATGATGTAATAGGAAGGTGGTTTCTATAAATATCCTATAGCAGGGAACAGATTCCTCTGTAAAGGTCATCCTATGGAAGACTTAACATACCTGAATCAAGGTGAAATCACATTGAAGTTACATTAAGTAATTAAATGAAGTACATTGTCAAATGTATTTCCTGATCAAACCAAAACACAATACCAAACCAAGTGAGAAGGTGAATGATATTTCAGTGTTTACCAGCAGAGAGCAGCATAGACCTGCCAACACTAAATGTAAAGCGTTCTCAATCGTTTTCATGAAGAGGGAAACTAAAACTAGGAATGGAACAACCAACTGTCCAATAAAAGCTTGGGGGCGGGACCATGGCCTGAGATTATAATTGCTGACTCAAGCTGATGGCTGCCATGATAGTCTTTCACATTTAAACTGTTTCCTGTGGGATCTTCTTGGCACAAGACTGTTGTAGTTAACGTTACTGTGAAGGTTTTTAAACTGGTTCTGAACCAGTCTCAGTTTAGTCCTGATCCTCTATGTGACCTTCAGAAGTAAACGAGACCATCAGAGAGAAGATGGTCTATTTCTCTGTAGTTATTCTTAATGCTCGTCATCGGGGCCATCGGATTCTGGTGAAATCAGATGAAATCAAGCAGGTTCACCAGAAACTCCTTCAGCTCAGACTCCAGCGGGGCCTGAGCTGCTGGAGGTCCGGGCCGTATTGCTGGACCTGCTGGAGGGAAACATGTGCAAGTGAGAGGGATGCACTCTGGAGTCACATCGACAGTGAAGATGCACTCGCTCACCAACACACACTAACCTCAGATTGGTTATCACTGCTGTTTGACAGAGCCTGCTGTGCTATGTTAGGGTGCACTAACGACATCGTAATGAGCTGTGTTGGGTTATGCATGTTATTGATGCGAGGGTCTATAAAGGGTAATTGGGTCACGGCAGGGAAGCCTGCCTTGTAATTGTGCTTCATTCATTAGTTGCTTTACTTTCTTTGTGGAAACCTGAAGCGGTAAAACAAATCCACATCAGTGCGTATCCCACAGAGATCACGCAGTTCTTCTTCTTCTCGACTCTAGAAATGTGTTTTTGATATCTGCCAGAGGGAGACTCTCAGAAATGTACAAACTGTCCTAATTTCTTATTCCAGAGGATTATTCTCTCTTCCACAGTGTGAGAAAGATTGACTTGTCCAAAGCAGGTTTAATGTGAGCTGGGCCGTGTTTTTGTGATTTGTATATACTCCTCTCTTGTCACTCAGTATAATTAAAGCTGCAGAGTAAACAGTGTGTACAGTATAACCCCAACAGAAAGCTAACCAACACCGCCATTTACCAACCAGCTCAGCTTTTAAACCAAAGCTGGACTGACTAATATCCACTCGGCACCACTGCTACAGTTTCCATCGTATTAATTCAGCGTATATTCTAATTATTAGCAGCACAATTAACAACAGTCTTCTCCAATTTGAGTGACATATGAGATGTCATTTCTAGGCTAAAGGTAAACTTGTACCAGCTAGCTAGAAGCAAGGAAGCACATTGCAAAGCTGAAAGGGGGCTGCTTGACACTCCAGCTGTCAGCGCTGTAATCTGTGGTTCAATCCAAAAAGAAACATTTCTGCCTTCAGCTAATATTAAATATTTACTTTTAACCAATGTATAAGTCATGATCACCAGTATAAAACCTATTTACATATTTTTGATATACTTTGTCTCTACTAGAGACAAAGTGTTTTTTCTCTGAATATTACCTCTCTTCCCCGGTTCCAAAACTATTATGGTTTACTTTACCTACAATGGCCCTAATTCACCGTCCAACATTTCAGAGTAAAATGTACTCAAATATTTACTGTCATCTTCTAAAATATCATGCACTGTTGTCCTATGAGCTATCACGACATAAAGAAGTTCAAATTGACTCTAGCTTGACAGGCTTCAACATTAAAATGTGAACTCACCAATATTACTAATCCAATAATATAATTATACAACCCTCTGAGTGGTACATTTAACATAATGAGCACTTTTACATTTTGATAATCATCCTCCTGTACTGTCATGAGTATGTTGACCGATGGTATTAGTGCTTTTACTTGAGTAGAGGATCTTCCTGGATCATCGTGTATTGCCTCATATTGCGTATTGCCTCATATTGATGACATTTAACATCTGACAGAGTCAGGTCCTTCGTGACATTATTCTGACATCATTAAGCTCCTGGCATTTTATGTACAAGAGCTGTGAAACCTCTAAATGTCAGACTCTTATTTCATACAAAAAAGTGTTTTGTTTGAACCTGTGTGTGTGTGTGTGTGTGTGTGTGTGTGTGTGTGTGTGTGTGTGT